TCTGCTCCCAGATCTCACGGCGAATTGTAAGTGGCTCCTGCCTGAGATCGCATGCTGTGGTTTTATTAAATGTGCCAGCTGCTAGGACTCTCTTAGGGAAGACAGCTTTTAGATGTGCAGCTCCTCTGTCTTGGAATATTCTGCAAATTAAATGGAAACTGAGCAATCTGGTGCCACTAAATGTTTTTAAAGCTCGGTTGGATGCGACTCAATCGGAAGCTGTTGGTACCTGCTCATGTGGATAAGTATGTAAATGATGCTGTATGATGTCCTTTTGTTGTTCTATTTATGTTTCATGTGGAACTACTTGAGCAGGTCTCCCTTGAAAAAGAGATCAATGATCTCAATGGGATTTATCTGTATAAATAAAGGTTTGAAATGAAATGAAATTATTTATTTTTCTTATTTTCTAAGGTAGGCCATCTTTATTACATGTTCTATTTGTTTTAGCCCTGGAGTGGTATTCTGTTACTAATACTAATACTTGAAACCTATTCAGGATTGTATTGATACAGCTGGACAAACTGAGAATGTGACTGAAAGATATATTGGACTGTATTATTGTCTGAAACTAAAACTACAACAGAGACAATCCAAATGTTACCTCTCTGCGGACCATGCTGCTCTCCTGCTGATCCAGGAGGATGTTGAGCAGCGTTCCCCACAATCCTCCACTGATGTTCTGACAGCTGGCACACAGAGCCTGACACCCGCTGGACCCCGAGGTCAGAGCGGCCCCCAGACCCAGAGAGGAAAACCTCACCTGAACCCAGAGCGAGACGGGATGAGGGTCGGAAAGAAGAGTGAATACATACGGTGAAGCTGTAATGACTCTCACAAATGTGGGACATGGGACACCTACTGTTGGGAACACACTGGATGTCCTCTTCCAATATGAGAGCAACTGATAACAAAGGTATCCCAACTGCAGCTGTGAACATGACAGGATGTGTGATTACCTAGAAGAGCATCAGGACTGTTTGAGGCAGATGATAGCTATGTGATTAACATGATGATTCAGCCTCTATGGAGAGAGACATCAAGCATGCTCATTTCTGACATGGAGCTAATCTGAAGTAAACATTGAATACTGCTTTCTATTCCTCCATCTTGTGACTGTGTAACTCCCTCTCTTGATATCAGCATGTGAAGGACACTGTTCAGGAACTAGTTGATGCTCTGTATGTGATGACTCCTTCCATTCTGGAGAGGATCACAGATACATGGATCCAGATGTTGAAGCTCAAGCTGATGACCAGTGATATTTAAATAGCATTTAAATAGACGATGGTGAAGTCTAACTTGACGGAGAGTCGGTATGACTTGCCGTCAGGTGCTTCCTTTTGTCTGTGAGTTCTTCTGCAGCTCTCATGGGTTTCAATATGTCCCAAAACTCCAACATGTAGAAACTTCATTTAAAAGAGTTGAGATGGAGATTTAATAGTAGTTATATGAAAATGAGAAGGTACCTCTTGATCGCGGTCGACCCACAGAGGGATGAGCCAGGCCAAACCGAGCTGAGAGGGGTTAGTGTCCTCAGAAGACACATCATTCCCCAAAGACCACTGGGAAATGAAGTCCTGATGCAGACAAAACAGAGAGAAGAACATTGGCAGACATTTCCCGAATATTACCTTAGATGTTGTACCTTATCTATTAGCTTCTCCTAAGTGATTGAACTGGCATATTTGAGGCTAAAACAAACAACATTTGAACACCTATATTAAGCTTGCTGTAATATCAACTATTAAAACGTGGACTTTAGAACTAAATACAGAGTTAGGTTTCATATAGGTTCATAAACATTATTTTAAAACTCCTCTATCGCCTCACTTCAAGATTTAAAGCTTATCATATGGCAATTATTTTAAAAAGAAGTCTGGAAAGTAATTATTATCTAAATCTCCTTGCACAGTATGCTGATGAAGTGACCTGCTGAACTTCACGATTATCTGTGTGAGAGTATCACCTTATTTGACAGAAATATTTGAAAATGGTTTGGCTTTTTGTTTTGATCAGCTGTTGTTTTTGTTCTAAACTCTGACACACTTTCTAGAGATGAGATACGAGACCTTTGCAGCAGTTTAAATGTTGTCCACACTTGCCTTGTCTTTGTTCTCCATCAGCATCTCGTGGGACAGGTGAAGGAGGCAGATGACGGCGTTCTTGGTCACACCTTTCCCCATGAAGGACATGGAGTTTCCCCCCCACTCCACATAAAACGAGGAGATCACCTGTGAGAAAAGACACGGATCATATCGGGCATATTGAATAAAAGCCCAAGGGACTGCAACTCATTTTGTTTTTTAAATTAGACATTCATTGAGATGAAATGTTATTTTCCGAAAGAGACCTGATGACAATAACACAAACAGAAAACAAAATGATTTTAATTAACGACTAATCTGACTACTATTTTCTACATGAATGCATTATTAAGATAGATAGAGAAAAATGTCCATCCAAGCTACTAAAAAATCAAAGGTGGTGTCTTAATGTCATGTCTCTCCAATCCCGAGAATAATCACTTTCGTTTGATTTAGAACGGAGAAAAAGCAGCAAATCTAAATGTTTGAGACTGAAAACTGATTTTTCTGACCGGGAAAATTATACATTCATCAAAATGTGTTTTATTGTTTCCATCTGCTCTCATCCTGCAAACACATGACTGACAGAACTGCAGGTGATTTGGTTTTGGTACAGTAGCTAAGTGATGCATCTCATGTTCCTACATCAGAAGTACCACCTGTGTCAGAGTAAGGGATAATGTTTGCTTGTCATGCACCTCACGGCATGGAAAGGAAAGCTAAATACAGCTGAGACTAATTATTCTGCTCTGATGTGCGATCAGGATGTGGGACAGCGCCGGAGAGCAGCTGCACATCTAGACCGAGGAGCTTTAGGGCTCTAGAGCGCTGAGAGAACCAGGTGAGAGGTGGGTCAGAGGGTGGAGGAGAGTGAGGTGTTCATTGTTATCATTGAGATGGAAGCAGCCGCCAGAGATCCTGACTGAAAAACCAAATTAACCTTCATCTTAATTCATGTCCGTACAAGCTGCCCATTACAGCAAACAATGAGAGGTGTTGTGTTTCCACTCAGAAATAAGGTTTGGACACCTCTGTGCACGAGCTGGTGCAACGCCGTGTTACGGTATTGTTTTATGGACCGGTGAACAACGAACAGATGGAATAGTCAAGGTTGATTCATCTCATCAGCATCTTCACAGTGTGGCATATCTACTCAGTGAGGTTTGTACCGATTGCAATGCATGTCCCGTAACCACGTTTTTACCTAATTAATTCCTCAGGAAGCACTGGGCTTTCATTCACCATGTCTGTAGGCTCAGATCAGAGGGAACATGCAACACATTAACACACCTGGAAACAGAGTCATTACAGCTTACAGCAAGAAGCCCTATTTCAGATTGAACTGAGGAACACATTTCACACATTTTCTATTTTGTTTTTTTCCTACTCAACCAGATGTAAGTAACATTAATGCAAGAGTTCTAAATGGTTGTAAAATGATTTGCTTGTTTGTATCAACAATGCCTATACTTGCAGATGTGTTAGCATATTGTTAGTTATAGAGACTATGTGATGTTGTTTGTGACGAAGGTAACTTCACGTCACTATGGACTGACGGCTTCAGGCCGGGTAATATTGCACTTTATTAGCGTGATTGCACCGTACAGTTGACATTACATATTTGCACATAATTCATACTAATTATTGAGGTAGTATTTTTTAACTGATTAAACCGTATTTATTGGAATGTCGTCTGGCAGGTGCCGGCCGGGTCCTCGGCTCCGCCTGGAAAGATAGGGGAGTTTGCGAGAGCGCCGAGAGTAGTTATGCTGGTGTAAGGATGACAGCGGTTGAGTAATCAGGGTGCAAATAATGTTTGTGGCTGATGATTGTGTGCACCTGGTGTCCTGTGTTGTCTCCTTCCCCCTCACCTGTGTCTTGTTGTGCTGATTAGAGTGTGTGTATTTAGGCTCTGTTCCCTGTCTGTTGAGAGGCTGGTAGTGTGTGAGATCCTGGTGGCTGGTAGGGTGTGTGAGATCCTGGTGGCTGGTAGGATGTGTGAGATCCTGGAGGCTGGTAGGGTGTGTGAGATCCTGGTGGCTGGTAGGAGGTGTGTGAGATTCCTGGTGGCTGGTAGGGGTGTGGTGAGATCCTGTGGCTGGTAGGTGTGTGAGATCCTGGTGGCTGGTAGGATTGTGTGAGATCCTGGTGGCTGGTAGGGTGTGTGAGATCCTGGTGGCTGGTAGGGTGTGTGAGATCCTGGTGGCTGGTAGGGTGTGTGAGATCCTGGTGGCTGGTAGGGTGGTGTGAGATCCTGGTGGCTGGTAGGGTGTGTGAGATCCTGTGGCTGGTAGGATGTGTGAGATCCTGGTGGCGGTAGGGTTGTGAGATCCTGGTGGCTGGTAGGGTGTGTGAGATCCTTGTGGCTGCAGGATGTGTGAGATCCTGGTGGCTGGTAGGGTGTGTGAGATCCTGGAGGCTGGTAGGGTGTGTGAGATCCTTGTGGCTGCAGGATGTGTGAGATCCTGGTGGCTGCAGGATGTGTGAGATCCTTGTGGCTGCAGGATGTGTGAGATCCTGGAGGCTGGTAGGATGTGTGAGATCCTGGAGGCTGGTAGGGTGTGTGAGATCCTGGTGGCTGGTAGGGTGTGTGAGATCCTGGTGGCTGGTAGGATGTGTGAGATCCTGGTGGCTGGTAGGGTGTGTGAGATCCTGGTGGCTGGTAGGATGTGTGAGATCCTGGTGGCTGGCAGGATGTGTGAGATCCTGGTGGCTGGTAGGGTGTGTGAGATCCTGGTGGCTGGTAGGGTGTGTGAGATCCTGGTGGCTGGTAGGGTGTGTGAGATCCTGGTGGCTGGTATGTGTGAGATCCTGGAGGCTGGTAGGGTGTGTGAGATCCTGGTGGCTGGTAGGGTGTGTGAGATCCTGGTGGCTGGTATGTGTGAGATCCTGGTGGCTGGTAGGATGTGTGAGATCCTTGTGGCTGCAGGATGTGTGAGATCCTGGTGGCTGGTAGGGTGTGTGAGATCCTGGTGGCTGGTAGGGTGTGTGAGATCCTGGTGGCTGGTAGGGTGTGTGAGATCCTGGTGGCTGGTAGGATGTGTGAGATCCTGGAGGCTGGTAGGGTGTGTGAGATCCTGGAGGCTGGTAGGGTGTGTGAGATCCTGGTGGCTGGTAGGGTGTGTGAGATCCTGGTGGCTGGTAGGGTGTGTGAGATCCTGGTGGCTGGTAGGGTGTGTGAGATCCTGGTGGCTGGTAGGGTGTGTGAGATCCTGGTGGCTGGTAGGGTGTGTGAGATCCTGGTGGCTGGTAGGGTGTGTGAGATCCTGGTGGCTGGTAGGTGTGGTGAGATCCTGGTGGCTGGTAGGGTGTGTGAGATCCTGGTGGCTGGTAGGGTGTGTGAGATCCTGGTGGCTGGTAGGGTGTGTGAGATCCTGGTGGCTGCAGGATGTGTGAGATCCTTGTGGCTGGTAGGGTGTGTGAGATCCTTGTGGCTGGTAGGATGTGTGAGATCCTTGTGGCTGGTAGGATGTGTGAGATCCTGGTGGCTGGTAGGATGTGTGAGATCCTTGTGGCTGGTAGGATGTGTGAGATCCTTGTGGCTGGTAGGATGTGTGAGATCCTGGTGGCTGGTAGGGTGTGTGAGATCCTGGTGGCTGGTAGGGTGTGTGAGATCCTGGTGGCTGGTAGGGTGTGTGAGATCCTGGTGGCTGGTAGGGTGTGTGAGATCCTGGTGGCTGGTAGGATGTGTGAGATCCTGGTGGCTGGTAGGGTGTGTGAGATCCTGGTGGCTGCAGGGTGTGTGAGATCCTGGTGGCTGGTAGGGTGTGTGAGATCCTGGTGGCTGGTAGGATGTGTGAGATCCTGGTGGCTGGTAGGGTGTGTGAGATCCTGGTGGCTGGTAGGGTGTGTGAGATCCTTGTGGCTGCAGGATGTGTGCAAGGAGAACAGCAGGATTGAGGCTGTGAACTTTGTGCACATGATTTTAATAAATGCCCACGTCGGGTTATATTTTTGGACGTTCTGCCGCTGCCTCCTTGCTTGGTCTGGGCCGCTCAACGGTCAGTCTCACATTGTTGCATGTCAATTAATGTCTGTTTCTTAATCTGTGTTAAAATGGCCAGAAATGTAAATAAGCAAATGGCTAAATCTGGCTTTTCTCTTTTCAACATGAGTGCTTTGTGTTTATGGTCTGTGTTTAATAAGGACTGACTTCTTCCCGTTTTAATCAGAGAGGGTCCAAACCTTTAAGAGTGCGTTGAAGACCTCCATTTTTAACAAAAGCCTTCAGTTAGAGCTGGCATTTTATGGTATCCATTTTATTTAATTTCTATGGTAATTAATTTGAATGTTTTATGGACTTTTTTTGTATCTTGTTTTGTTTTCTCCTTCTGCTGTTACTCTATCATATACAATGTTGTTGTTTGTTTTTAATCTGTAAAGCCAACTTTCTATTTTACTATATTTTGTCTTGTTTTTTTGTAATGTTAAAACAATGTGTTATTTTTATTTCTGTTTGACTTTTATGTATGCTCCACGACACCAAGTCAAATTCCTCGTAACCTGGTAATAAACCTGTTTCTGATGATTCTGATGCAAACGTGTTTTGTGATATTGGGCTATACAAATACAGTTTGATAAATCTGTATTGTACCTCTAGCAGCCCGCTGAGGTACTTGGAGCAGAGTATCTTGGGCTCCATGTCAGTGCAGTGAGAGCTCCACCCGGGCTGTGCGGTGAGGCAGACCATGCCCAGCAGAGTCCTCTCCAGGCTGGGGAGGCCGTAGAAGCGCGGGGTGTCAGACACCCTCAGACTCTGGAGCAAACGCACCGCCAGCTGGCTCTGAAGCGGGCCCGCTAACGCCAGACAGAGCCTGCACACAGGGGGGGAAGGACAAGAGAAAACCAGACAGGCATAAGAGAGGATGCTTCTTAGGTAACATTAAGCTGTCTTTGGCTCTTTTCTGCTGTGACACATGTACATTTCCCCTCTGTGGGACGAATAAAGGTATTCTGGTTCTGATTCTGAAAGCCTTGTATGTAAAAGAAATGAACCCAAATTAGAACATGTTAAATATTATATTTAAATTGCAACAGGACACTGAAAATAAAGGTCCTGTGTCTGGGAAGAGCGAGACACACGCAAACAAGACAGACATGAGAGAGGAAAGCCTTGCATCTAAAAGAAATGAACCCAAATTAGAAAATGTTAAATATTACATTTGAATTGCAACAGGACACAAAGTGCTGAAAATAAAGCGCTGTGTCTGGTGATTTGTCAGATGTTTCTCGGTGATATCCCTGATGTTAACTTACATGCATTATTTGTGTTTCTGTTGAATGTGTTCACTTGGAGTTTTGTTGTGAAGAACCGGAAGTGTTACCGGATGTTGTGAAGTGTTACGTGGGAGTTACGTGTGTCATATTATCGAGTAACACCTGGTACTTGTCAGTGGTGTGTGACAGACAGCAGAGGACAGGGGGGGGGAAGAGCGAGACACGAGCAGAAAGACAGACATAAGAGAGGAAAGCCTTGCATATAAAATAAATGAACCAGGTCACAAAGGGCTGGGTCTGGGGGTTTTCCGGATGTTTCTGGGTGATATCCCTGCTACCTGTCAGTGGTGTGTGTGACTCGGAGGAGTATAGTGTTGAAGAAGCTGCTGAGCTCTCTCTGAAGTCTCTGGCCGACGTGGTTCTTCTGCTCCTCCGATTCCTCCGAGGTCTGAGAGGACGTCTGGGTCTCCACACCGAGCAGGAGGCTGAGGAGGGACGCTGACTCCTGGATAAATGACGGATAAGAATGGTCCATCATTTTGGATTTAATAATTGTAATGTTATGATGACAGAAACACCGAGAGGCAAGAAAGAGTAAGAGTTAAGTCTTGACTGTTATCTCTCTTGTGTTTAGGAGTCAATAACAGCGTGAAAAATTTAAAAGGTTGTGAGAGGATAATCTGTATTAGTTACTTTCTTATAATAAGGTGTTATCAAGTTATTGTTAAATTACTGTCATGGCTTTATCTTGGCTACTAGTATATGTAATGAAACCTTGTGCATGAAGAAATCTAGAGCTCACCTAGAGGAAAACTGGGCCACTTCCCACCTGCCAAAACTAAAAGTAACTCTTCTGCTAAAACTAAATTAAGGAGTTATAGTTAGATGATTATGGCAAAACCTTCTTTTAAGTGTGTTCAAGTCAAAAACCCAGGCAATAGAAAACATGTATATAGACTTTCCTCTCACTTGTCTCTCAGGGCAAAAGATAATGTTGTTCTTTATTCTTTTACTTAATCGTTTACATATAAATATTAGTTTTGGCCAGTTTTCTAAATGTGTTCTCCTGGTATTTGTATGCCTTTGTGTTCTTTGTTAACTTCACTGACAGCTTTTGACAGTGAATCCATTTGTTCAGGAGGATTATTAACTTGGGCCGTTTCTCAATGTCGACTAAAGCTGCTCAAGAGCCACTATTTCAAGCATACTACGTCATCGAGTGGCGCCGAAGGACTGTTTAAATGCCCAGCATACATGTGCTACCAAGCAAGCCTCCTCGACATTGAGAAACGGCCTTGGATTAGCATTACCTATATATATATAATTAATCTGTTGACCTTTTGTAATTCATAAAAACTGACCCATGGAGGGAAGAAGTGGGGGATGCTGTATTTTAGCAAAACACCTCCTTTTTTATTCCATTACCCCACCCTTTGCAAAACTCATATTCGAAACAAGATTAAGAAACATGCAGAATGTCTTCCTGAGCGTTGCACATGGAGTAGAGAGTTATCATAAGTGTAGAGAGAGACAGATGTTCTTGAACCAGCTCAGTAATTACAGAAAAGTAAAGTAAAGCAGAGCCGCTCACCCCTACCAGGCGTTCAATCTGAGTCTGCTTACACTGCCAGAGGAGTCCTTATTGTTTACACACACGTTAATGAGAAAACCAAGCTGAGACTGATTAAATCCTAAAAGTAGCTCTGAGTGCTAAAACTGTGAGATGATTCTCCGCCTCGGGCTAAAAATATGAATCCAACTTTGTTTTAAGAGCTGAGAAAATAATATGTGCCGCGGGTCTGAGAGGGAACTATTTTTCTGTCGTTATGAGAGTGTAATAATGTGTTCAGCTTGTCTGCCGGCGTATGATTTATTCACGGTTTGATTACAGGTATATCACCCTCTGTGTTGGAGAGTAACCAGATTACTAGCTAACAGATATGCACACACACCTCTTTTACACTCCAGTACAGTAGAGTTATTGCATATTCTCTAAACTACAACCACACTGAAACACATGACCTGAGGATTTTACTTTCCTGCTCTACCAATTAATGTATATATAATATCCTGCATTATATTTTGTTACTGGAAATTTGTATTTCCACATGTATATTTTTTAACTTTTTAATGCTATTTTATTTCTATATTTTGGACTGTTTATTTCTAGTGTCTTCATTTCTCTTTTGTGCATTGGCTTGTTTTTTATGCTGCTGCAATGCAAACATTTCCCAAATTGGGATCAATAAAGTACTTCATCTGTCTGTCCGTCCGTCCGCCCGCCCACCTACCTAACTACCTATCCATCTATCCCTCCATATATCTGTCCGTCCGTCCGCCCACCTAACTACCTACCTACCTATCCATCTATCCCTCCATATATCTGTCCGTCCGTCTGCCCGCCCGCCCACCTAACTACCTACCTACCTATCCATCTATCCCTCCATATATCTGTCCGTCCGTCCGTCCGTCCGTCCGTCCGTCCGTCCGTCCGCCCACCTACCTACCTATCTATCTATCCATCCATATATCTATCCATCTATCCATCCATATATCTATCTATCTATCTATCTATCTATCTATCTATCTATCTATCTATCTATCTATCTATCCATCTATCCATCCATATATCTACCTATCTATCTATCTACCAGAAAATGTGAATTATTTGTACCTGGTTGAGAAGCAGCTCCAGGATCCAGCGCAGGTCCTGGTCCTCGGGATCAGATGCCGACTCAGAGGGGTTGAAGTAGGCATTCAAAAATGCAACTATACCCACGAGCAACCTCTCATCGTCCACACAGGCTGGACGCACCTGGAGGAACCTGCAGGGAGGAAGAGACACAGCCATTTAAATAATACATCTCAGTTATATCGCAATATTAGGGCTGCAGGATGTGAAAAACAAACATTTATTGAGATTATTATAACTGCCATCGCGATATGATTTTCAATATTGGAAGGATTGATCATTTCTTAATCATGTCATTATCATTGAAAGATATACAGTATATTTAAATTATGATGCTCTGTAGCCCTGTGTCATATTCATCCATTCATATTCAAGCCCCTTTTCTATTTCTTCATTTTAAGAGAACTATATAAAGGCATTCAGAAGATGCTTAAATCCACAGACTGCCACCTTTACGCCTGTGTTGTGTCTCTGTACAGATTAGCACTTGATTAAGGGGAATAAAAGCGTTTGTCATACTTCCTCAGGGAAGCTTAAATACTCACTGTGAACAGAAAAAGGCATTAAACTCAATCAATCCATGTCAATCCTTTAAAATAAGACAACAAGACACGCTGAGCCATGGAAATATTTCACAGTGAGTTTTGCGTACTTCAGCAGCAGGAATAATAACGGCATACTGCGGAGTGATTTCATACATCGCTTAATTAATACACTTTAACCAGACATATATCTGACGCAATGGAGACTCAGAGAGACACAGGGAGAGCAGGAACTTTGATGGCAAACACTGACGGTTTATTTGGAGCTTCGGCCGGAGAATTCACAAGACATGTCGCATGCCACGAGGTGACACAGCGGATGCCAAACCAATTCTGAAGAACTCTTTCTGCAGCTCGAGGTTTTAACTAGTTCAGAGTGTAATAATCAACATTCTTTATCAGTGAGACCTAACATTATGGACCCTGAATCTATAGAGCTCTCATCCATAGAAAGAACGTGCGCCAGGGAACCTTCGTCCCTGAACAGTTAACTACCTCATGGCGGCTTGTGCTCGGTCACAGACTGGCAACAACAATGCGCCCAAGCTGCTCCTCCTTAAGAGAGATAGCAGCAATTCCCAAGGCCGTAGACCAGGGGTGTCAAACTCAATTTCATCACGGGCCACATCAGCATTATGGTTGCACTCAAAGGGCCGGTTGTAACTTTAAGACTATATAAAAATACATAAACAAATATTTAAAATATATAAAATAATGTATTATATTACTTTATTGCCTCTGCATTGGATTATTATCGGATAGGGTAATAACTTTATAATTAACTACGTCTGAAAGCAGAAGTCTAGGGCAAATAATTGCAAGTCTCTTCAGTAAGAATGTCACAAAATGATTTAAAAAGAAAAGCCAAATTCTGGAGGAAAAAATAACATTTGGAAAAAAAGTCAAATTTCAGATGCATTGTGGGATATGTAGTTTATGGGCAACGTGCTTCTGTAAAGTAGCATGTAACCGTATAATAAACATATTATATTCTTTGCAAGCTCTTGTGGGGCCACATAAAATGAAGTCGCGGGCCGGATTTTGCCCCCGGGCCTTGAGTTTGACACCCCTGCCGTGGGAAAGGAGACAGTGAGAGGAGAACATTATGAACTGTGTCGAAGGTTGAATACCTAAGCAAATTAAATAAACTCTTTAATATATATTTAATAGAAATGTTTATTGATTGGGATAAACCCCTTGAGATGCACCATCTCGTTTTCAAGGGGGTCCCGACAATAGCAACAACTAACTTACAGACTTACATAAACAAAAAGACAAAATGCAAAACATGACACACAAGACAAACCACATACAGTCTGTTAAGTGAAATTCAAGCAATGCACACAATCATTACAATTTGAGACAGTCGAGCAAATCAGTTTCATCAATAACAGTTAATAACAAGTACAGAGCAGCTGAAAGTGAGATGATAATGCATGTTTAAATAAACCCAATGATGACAGAGATCTAACAGCAGCAGGTCAAGTATTCCAGTCAGTTGGGGCTTTGAACGAGAACGCTCTTCTGCCAATAGATTTGTTTGCAGAGGGAACGGAGAAATAAATCTGAACAGAAGGTCTAACTTGATGATTTGGTGAGTAGGGTACAAAATACTGCTTTAAATAAGGGGGATAGTTAAGATAAATGCATTTAAATATCAGCTGAAACCAATGCGTGTGTCTTCTTACATTTAAAGAAGGCCATTTAAGTTGGTTATACATTGTGCAGTGATGTGTACGAAGATATGTGTGCAGTGTACCTGGTGACTGCTGCCTGCCAGCCGAGGGAGGTGAGGGTGTCTCTGCAGCTGAGGGTGGGGGTGTGCGGCAGCGCGAGGTGCTCCATCAGAAGATACAATCTGAGCGTGGAGAGGGCGGAGGTGACGGATCTGTGACCCGCTGCAGACACGATGCTCTGGAGGCAGTCCTGCAGCGCGGCGGGGGGGTGCAGCGCCCGCAGACTCACACCCTGCGCCTCCGACAGCTTCAAGTCAGGGTGGAATCTGTCGGGAACAAAAGGAAGAGAGTTGGAAATATATATATTTAAAATGGGACTACATGACTATTTGGGCTGGGTGACTGATCAAAGGTAAAAACATATATAAAAAAACAGGATTACAATCCGATATAATTAACTTTACGATGGTGTTGGCGTTAATAAATCTAGCACAAACTGCCTTTCTTTTATAGCAGTAGTTGATGACTAGAATATATGTTGTTGAATATATATTGAGGAGTTTTCAGTAGGCTGTAGCAATGCACTATAATATAATTATTCTTATTTAATTTATTACATTTTGTTTGTGTTAATTTAAATATGTTTCAGTTTAATTAAATGCATATTATGTTAAACATGTAATTAATGCATTTCCAAAGTCAATGATCTATCATTTTAAGTAATAATATCTGATCTGATTTTTGAGTTACAGCTAGAGATAATAAAGGTGCCTCAGTAAATATTGATGTATTGACAACTGTGTTGCAGAAGTAGCGTCCTCGGCATACTCATGACCGCATTAACAAACACATTTGATCACCAATCTAGAGGGAGGAGACATTTACGAGTCATCCAAACAGCAGCAGAGGAATCGACAAGACATACTCGAGGAAACTGTCAAAACAAGGTGAAAAACTTTAGTAATAATATCAAAAGAGATAGGGACTTGTGCACGGAGAGAAAAAGGAAGATATTCTCAATATTCTCTGACCAATTTCGCACGGTACGAAAGTTAGTAGATTGATGCATCTTTGGTGTGCCTTAAAAGTCTTTCCTGTAATTAAGCTGGTTAAAAACAGTGTGAGAGACATTGCCATATTTTTGAGTTCGGTCACATTAGAGGTAAATGAAGACAGACGAAAGCCAAGATGCTGAAACTAATTCTTTCCTGCAATTCTCTCCGAGAGACGGAGAGCGTTATTTAAAAGTGATTTTACTTTCCCTGCTTTGGACTTAGTATTCTGTTCAGTTTCACACCATGTTCTCTTGATGCAGAAACAATGTTCCCTCTCTGTCTCCAATCATCTCTCATCATATAAGACTTTCACTGCTTACCAGATGGCAAAAGTACACACATCCTTTACTGAAGTAGAAGTACAGATACTCGTGTTTAAAAATACTCTGGTGAAAGTAGAAGTACTGACTAAACTTCTTTACTCAAGTCAAAGTAAAGAGGCTTTGAAATGTACTTCAGTAAAAAGTACCCATAACTAGCAGCTGCTTTAAAGAGTACCTGACCTCCCTTTATATTAATAGAACAATAATGTCATTGTTAGCTAATGAATGTTTCCATGCTGAACAACGGCAACATGACAACGTTTCCATTGGTCCCTCTTCTTTAGAGAAGACCAGGAAATGATGGATACACGGATCGTGTTCAAATCAATAGGCACGCAATGACTCTAAAGAATAATGATCACGCATCAAACACACATTCAGACTAAAGGAACCAGCTGTTTGGAAAATGAGAGAAGTAGAAAGTACAAGTATTTGAGTTCAACATGTAAGAAGTAGAAAGTACAGGTATTTGAGTTCAACATGTAAGAAGTAGAAAGTACAGGTATTTGGGTTCAACATGTAAGAAGTAGAAAGTACAGGTATTTGTGTTCAACATGTGAGAAGTAGAAAGTACAGGTATTTGTGTTCAACATGTAAGAAGTAGAAAGTACAGGTATTTGTGTTCAACATGTAAGAAGTAGAAAGTACAGGTATTTGAGTTCAACATGTAAGAAGTAGAAAGTACAGGTATTTGGGTTCAACATGTAAGAAGTAGAAAGTACAGGTATTTGTGTTCAACATGTAAGAAGTAGAAAGTACAGGTATTTGTGTTCAACATGTAAGAAGTAGAAAGTACAGGTATTTGAGTTCAACATGTAAGAAGTAGAAAGTACAGGTATTTGAGTTCAACATGTGAGAAGTAGAAAGTACAGGTATTTGAGTTCAACATGTAAGAAGTAGAAAGTACAGGTATTTGTGTTCAACATGTGAGAAGTAGAAAGTACAGGTATTTGAGTTCAACATGTAAGAAGTAGAAAGTACAGGTATTTGAGTTCAACATGTAAGAAGTAGAAAGTACAGGTATTTGAGTTCAACATGTAAGAAGTAGAAAGTACAGGTATTTGAGTTCAACATGTAAGAAGTAGAAGTACAGGTATTTGTATTCAACATGTAAGAAGTAGAAAGTACAGGTATTTGTGTTCAACATGTAAGAAGTAGAAAGTACAGGTATTTGGGTTCAACATGTAAGAAGTAGAAAGTACAGGTATTTGGGTTCAAAGTGTAAGAAGTAGAAAGTACAGGTATTTGAGTTCAACATGTAAGAAGTAGAAAGTACAGGTATTTGAGTTCAACATGTAAGAAGTAGAAAGTACAGGTATTTGGGTTCAAAGTGTAAGAAGTAGAAAGTACAGGTATTTGTGTTCAACATGTAAGAAGTCTAAGTGAAAAGTCGTCAGAAAAATAAGTAGTGGAGTAAAGTAAATGTACTTAAGTACAGTAACGAAGTATTTGTACTCCACTACTTCCCACCTCTGTTGCTCAAAAGTAAGATGATTCTTACTCAGTATCATCCGTAGAGACGCCATGCAGCTTCTCCAGGAGGTTATCTATCCCAGAATGCCATGCGGTGTTCCAGGCCAGCTGTAGGGCGAGGCGTGCGGGGGGGAAGGTCAGGAGGTCGATAAAGGGGAGGGAGGACGCAGCAAAACGGGCTGACAGCGTGATGAGATCCCGCCTGGAACGGGATGTTGTACCTGGGGGGAAATTTGGGTGAATTTATATAGCTTAGTGTTGGGAAAATACTCTCTTCCAATATCAGAGTTTTTCCCCCAAAAAAGATTTACAACAGCTTATGACTTATTCTACTTCCACTTATTTCAATTCAATGTAGATAAATATGTTAAAACAAAGTGTGTTTAAGAGAAAGTTGTTGATTTTTCTAACACTTAGGGTCGTTGATGAGAGGAAAGGGAAAGTCACATTTACAGAAAACTTTGTGGAGGAAATTCCACACAAAAACAACCTGTTTGGTAAGAAATGAACAATAATAGAAGTTTAAATTAAAGTGTTGTTATTTTATAAAGTCAAAAAAGTCTAAAAGTAATTAAGAACAGTTTAAAGAACAAACACACCCTGAAGTTTGAATTGCATTAGAGTTACAAATACTTAAGGTGTTTGTATATATTGATTGTTGTGTTTTTATCTTAATGTGTGCACATGTGTCTGTTGATTGTGTATATACATATTTTAATATATATTTGTATTTTTGTATTCGGGATTGTGGGAAACGGTATTTCGATCTCTCTGTCGTACACACAAACTGACAGATTGACAATAAAGTTGACTTTGACTTGACTTTGTATATATAATAACATTTTGAATTGCATTAGAGTTACAAATACTTAAAGCCGTTTGTAATGTATAAAATCTATTTCAGCGGAAAGGACAGAATCTAGCACAAGCTACTGATTACTAGATCTGAACACATGCAACAGAAAATACACTTTATACACTCAAAAGGACATTTAGGTCGTAAGGGTCAGAAATGGTGTAAAAATCACTCTTACCTGCAATACGGATACCAAGATGTATTATTCCTTATTACTGGGTGCTATTTCACAACTTGTATATGTTCACTTACGTACTTATTTCTTTCTTATTTAACGTCGTTGTTTGCACTGTGCCTTTGCTGTTGTAACGGTGTAAATTGTGCGACAAATAAAATATTTTTGATTCTGACATTAGCAGCTTTTAATACCTATATTCCATCATTAGCACCAGGGACGTGCACAGGTACGGGCTACTGTTGCCCGGGCAACGGCCCGTTTCCCCTTTTTGGCTGACCTGCCCCTCTGGAGAGAGCGAGAGGTTTTTTTTTCTTTCTGTTGTGGTCGAATCACCATGATAAGCCCACAATTAGTATTGTAGTGTCTCGCTGCGGGAAACACACCAGCTTCATTCTTCTACTTCTTCTTCTTCTTCTTACATGTAATTGCCCGCATGGTAAACTCCCTCGACGGGGCCGCTCGCTCTCTTCTCTTGATCGCCCTCTCTCAGAGAACACTTCACTGCCCGCTTCCTTGTAGGATGTCTGCCATGTCTCTACTTTAATTTGACCATCTCTGTTATCAAGTAATACCTTACCGTCACTGCGCTCATAAAGAATGATAAGAATAATGTGTGTTGAACTGGTTTAATTAATTAGTGAGTTTATTTAAGGTAATTATAGAAGCCCTATTTTATCAGTATGTCTGCAATGGTCAAACTACATTGATTGTCCCCATTTTGTCTTTAGTAGTTTCTAACATTAGATATTTTAATGAGATATGGACCGCAAAACAAAATGTCCCTGGTTTTCATTTTAAAAATCAAGTCACCGAATGCAAGTAGTTGTTAGCTTAGTTTGTTATGAGATGATGATGTGAATTACAGTTCAAATTAGTTAATGTAATTATCGTTTTAGTCTTATATTCTTTTTCGCGGGGGAGGCCCTTTTTCCAGTTTAGAGCAATAGCCCCTCCAAATATCTGTGCACGTCCCTGTTAGCACTAATCTTTATTATTGCATATTTTATAGAGCTTTTCTAGCAGATTATGAACAAGAAGCCGGGGCGCTCCTTGCCAACAGGTAAGACAGGCAACTGCTTGGGGCCCCGGACCTGAAGGGGGCCCCCAAAGAAGGTCCACAGCAACGACAACATGAAACACCCTTTCATTTACTGCAACGACATGTCGGGAAACCCCCTCAAGGCGGCCCCATGTTTACTCATTAGTGGTTTTATGCATTGACACCATTGTCCCCTCTTCTTCATGTCTCTTCTACATCAACATGTGTCCCCTCTTCTTCATGTCTCTTCTACATCAACATGTGTCCCCTCTTCTTCATGTCTCTTCTACATCAACATGTGTCCCCTCTTCTTCATGTCTCTTCTTCATAAACATGTGTCCCCTCTTCTTTCATGTCTCTTCTACATCAACCATGTGTCCCCTCTTCTTCATGTCTCTTCTACATCAACATGTGTCCCCTCTTCTTCATGTCTCTTCTACATCAACATGTGTCCTCTCTTCTCATGTCTCTTCTACATCAACATGTGTCCCCTCTTCTCCATGTCTCTTCTACATCAACATGTGTCCCCTCTTCTTCAGTTCTTCTACATAACATGTTGCCCCTCTTCTTCATGTCTCTTTCTACATACCATGTGTCCCCTCTTCTTCATTGTCTCTTTCTACATCAACACGTGTCCCCTCTTCTTCATGTCTCTTCTACATCAACATCGTGTCCCCTCTTATTCATGTTCTTCTACATCAACATGTGTCCCCTCTTCTTCATGTCTCTTCTACATCAACACGGTGTCCCTCTTCTTCAGTCTCTTCTACATCAACATGTGTCCTCTCTTCTTCATGTCTCTTCTACATCAACATGTGTCCCTCTCTTCTTCATGTCTCTCTTCTTCATCAACATGTGTCCCCTCTTCTTCATGTCTATTCTACATCAACATGTGTCCCCTCTTCTTCATGTCTCTTCTACATCAACATGTGTCCCCTCTTCTTCATGTCTCTTCTACATCAACATGTGTCCCCCTCTTCTCCATGTCTCTTCTACATCAACATGTGTCCCCTCTTCTTCATGTCTCTTCTACATCAACACGTGTCCCCTCTTCTTCATGTCTCTTCTACATCAACATGTGTCCCCTCTTCTTCATGTCTCTTCTACATCAACATGTTGTCCCCTCTTCTTTATGTCTCTTCTTCATCAACATGTGTCCCCTCTTCTTCATGTCTCTTCTACATCAAATGTGTCCCCTCTTCTTCATGTCTCTTCTACATCAACATGTGTCCCTCTTCTTCATGTCTCTTCTACATCAACATGTTGTCCCCTCTTCTTCATGTCTCTTCTTCATCAACATGTGTCCCCCTCTTCTTCATGTCTCTTCTTCATCATCAACATGTGTCCCCTCTTCTTCATGTCTCTTCTTCATCAACATGTGTCCCCTCTTCCTCATGTCTCTTCTACATCAACATGTGTCCCCTCTTCCTCATGTCTCTTCTACATCAACATGTGTCCCCTCTTCTTCATGTCTCTTCTACATCAACATGTGTCCCCTCTTCTTCATGTCTCTTCTACATCAACATGTGTCCCCTCTTCTTCATGTCTCTTCTACATCAACATGCCAGATGGGTTGAAAGTTGCATGAATGGTAATTCCAAATTTAGTATACAAATCCTAGCAATGGTCGAAGAGTGGTTCTGTCTGTTCTAAGGAAGTGAAAAATGAGTAGCAAGACGTGAATTCGAACCGCGGGGAAATCAAACCAGAGACGGAAGTTATCTGTCTGTATAAGTTGTTTAACCTTTATTAGAATGATGGCATTTGTATTACTATTATATTTGTATTTCTGTTGTACCGATATGTTCACTTTGTTTTATGGGGTTTTATATTTGATATTGTTGCATCGACTCAGTTGTCTTGTGTCTGTCGGAGAGAAACTATTATTTATATTATCATACCTTTGACCTCCTTGTGTCTCTCAACCTGATCACATGTTATATTTTGCTGCATGGACCTTTTAAAGTTCTTAACAAATAATCTGAGGGGAATTTCTTGTGTATTTTTAACTTTTGTCATTTTGCACTTTGAGCTGCATGTGTTGTATTTAAAGTGCTATATAAATAAAGCTTTGTTATTATTATTTTATACTTAAATGAGACTTAACGATACATTTACTACAATAAACTTTACCTGCGTATTACCGACAGAGGAAGGGAGAACGGTGTGAGCGTCACATCCGTGTTGTCCGACCTGATACGACACAAAAAACAACATTTAATGGATGCATATTTTCATTTGAGAGGCATTAAGGCTCCGTGAGATAAAACATAAACTCACCATGTTTCCATGCTGGCAATCTCATCAAATAGCAGTAAACTCATCAGGACAGAAATCTCATTCCCATTGCCTTTGTTCTCCTTTAATATCAACGATGCTGTAATTAAGACATGAAATAGACAATTTGAATAACAAAAACAGTTTAAATAATTTATATATAATAACATTTTGAATACCATTAGAGTTACAAATACTTCAAGGAGTTTGTTATGTATAAAAACTGGCACATATTGCTCTGTCTCAAACAGAATATGAACATACAATATACAAAAATAAAATCACGATGTTATAATACAAAAGAAATGTCTCCTAGGTAGCACTTGAAAATAACTTTATAATAAAGAGGTAATTATTGTATTTGTTTCAGGGTAGAATTGTATAAATGATGTTTAATGAAGTTACCTGGACACACTTAATGCAATGAAAACAATAGACTATTTACAAATTAATTACATGATATTACCTTTTAATTATCAAACTGTTGCATCGTGCTAACATCCCACTTACTGCAGTGTGACACCATGGCTAAATGCTATGTATCAATGGATGATGGCCATGTTTTTTTTTTCTGAGAATGAGCCCCCCTGCGCTCAACAACATAACGTTTAAAGCTTCTTTTAATGGTCATTTATTATGCAAAATCCTCTTCTTCATGTCTCTTCTACATCAACATGTGTCCCCTCTTCTTCATGTCTCTTCTACATCAACATGTGTCCCCTCTTCTTCATGTCTCTTCTACATCAACATGTGTCCCCTCTTCTTCATGTCTCTTCTACATCAACATGTGTCCCTTCTTCATGTCTCTTCTACATCAACATGTGTCCCCTCTTCCTCATGTCTCTTCCACATCAACATGTGTCCCCTCTTCTTCATGTCTCTTCTACATCAACATGTGTCCCCTCTTCTTCATGTCTCTTCTACATCAACATGTGTCCCCTCTTCTTCATGTCTCTTCTACATCAACATGTGTCCCCTCTTCCTCATGTCTCTTCTACATCAACATGTGTCCCCTCTTCTTCATGTCTCTTCTACATCAAACATGTGTCCCCTCTTCTTCATGTCTCCTCTACATCAACATGTGTCCCTCTTCTTCATGTCTCTTCTACATCAACATGTGTCCCCTCTTCCTCATGTCTCTTCTACATCAACATGTGTCCCCTCTCTTCATGTCTCTTCTACATTCAACATGTGTCCCCTCTTCTTCATGGTCTCTTCTACATCAACATGTGTCCCCTCTTCCTCATGTCTCTTCCACCATCAACATGTGTCCCCTCTTCTTCATGTCTCTTCTACATCAACATGTGTCCCCTCTTCTTCATGTCTCTTCTACATCAACATGTGTCCCCTCTTCTTCATGTCTCTTCTACATCAACATGTGTCCCCTCTTCTCCATGTCTCTTCTTACATCAACATGTGTCCCCTCTTCTTCACGTCTCTTCTACATCAACATGTGTCCCCATCTTCTTCATGTCTCTTCTACATTCAACATGTGTCCCCTCTTCTTCATGTCTCTTCTACATCAACATGTGTCCCCTCTTCTTCGTGTTCTTCACATCAACATCATCTTCTTCGTGTCTCTTCTACATCAACATGTGTCCCCCTCTTTCTTCGTGTCTCTTCTACATCAACATGTGTCCCCTCTTCTTCGTGTCTCTTCTACATCAACACTGGTGTCCCCTCTTCTTCGTGTCTCTTCTACATCAACATGTGTCCCCCTCTTCTTCATGTCTCTCTACATTCAACATGTGTCCCCTCTTCTTCATGTCTCTTCTACATCAACATGTGTCCCCTCTTCTTCATGTCTCTTCTACATCAACATGTGTCCCCTCTTCTCATGTCTCTTCTACATCAACATGTGTCCCCTCTTCTTCATGTCTCTTCTACATCAACATGTGTCCCCTCTTCTTTCATGTCTCTTCTACATCAACATGTGTCCCTCTCTTCTGCATGTCTCTTCTTAATGTCTCTTCTACATCAACATGTGTCCTCTCTTCTTCATGTCTCTTCTACATCAACATGTGTCCCCTCTTCTTCATGTCTCTTCTACATCAACATGTGTCCCCTCTTCTTCATGTCTCTTCTACATCAACATGTGTCCCCTCTTCTTCATGTCTCTTCTACATCAACATGTGTCCCCTCTTCTTCATGTCTCTTCTACATCAACATGTGTCCCCTCTTCTTCATGTCTCTTCTACATCAACATGTGTCCCCTCTGTGGAAAGAGACTCTGAAAGTTTCAGGAACAAAGATTCTCTCTCTTTTTGATCCATTTCTATAAACACCTGTCTGAAAATGAGCTGATCAGATTTTGGCCACTTTATGATGTCATAACGATGTTTTGTCTCGTGTAACCATTAGCCAATCAGCAACCAAGGTAACCCCCCCCCTTATCACCTGAATCTCCTCCTAGAGCACCATTGAGTTCTTTGTAACCAAATGTCTCTCAGAGGGGCGTGGGGAGGGGCTCCTTATTTTCATCTAAAATAACAGACAGAGAATCAGCACTTTGGAAACAGGGCTGAAACAGAGGGGATTATGGGTAATGCTGCAATGATCTGTTTGGTGTTTCAGCCAATCAGAGACAGGCTCTATATATATCTGAGACCTGTGATATATTGATGAAGAACAGTATAATAGGGGACCTTTAAGATGTTGTGTTGTGAACGTACCCCTGACCAGTGTGAGCAGCAGGAGGCTGCGCTGAGCCAGGCTGTGTCTCAGGGACGGATCAGCGTACACCAACTTCCTCAGGATACACACACATGGCTCCAGCAGGCAGTCTGCGCTCTGAGGAAGAACACACACACACACACTGTTTAATTTAACATATTCTCCCTCTCCGTCTACTCCTGCTCAGAGGCACAGGGTCATGGTTGAGAATTAAAAACATAGGAATTATCATGAAAGAAAGACATTTTCTGTTTTTTGTGTGCAGGAGATCTTTAATATTGTTTTCCACCAAAAAAAGCCTGTTCTCTGTTAACTATGTGTTCTATCTTTTATGCAATAATGGGGGGGAAAAAAGCAGACAGGCAAAACTAAAAAGCATTGAATCACATGGAAATAACCTTATTTTGAGTCTTATTTTGATGCAAAGATGTGAACATAAGAAGGAATGTGGCACAACATAAAAGTAAAACCAGTGCTCTGTTGATTTAAATGTGAAAATGCAAACAAAATGTATATATTTAGCTCCTAAAATCAATAAATTACTGATAAATAATCTTCATCAATTAAGCATTACTTTGCTAATAAATGGGATAATTACTCCTGGTAAGTTTTCTTAACGGTGACATGACATTTTCATCGCCCATGCCAACTTCCCATAAGCTAAATAAACGTCCCTGATTGTTTCAGGCGATGGAGGGACAAACAGGACCTGCAGACATCAACACTTGTTATGTGAGACAAGTGGCCCTGTTTCCTTCACTTTTACCCTCCATGTAAACACACATGCAGCACGATTAGCTGTTAGCGACCTCTGATTCAAGGCCTGCGAATGATCAGCAGTAACTACAGGGCAAACATCCCTTCTGTCTGATACTATTAAAGCAGGCCACTTCATCCTTCATCATGCATGCAAGTTACGGCTGCTGCCTTCCTGGGGGTGTACTACGAAGCAGGATTTTCGCTTAGCGGCTAACTTCAGGGAAAACTCAGGGTTTCCGGTCCTACGAAGCTGGTTCTCTTTTTAGCAGGCTAGATCTCCATGGTAACTTATGCTGTGCGGCTAACCTGGTCGGGAGCAGGTTAGGTTGCAGGCTAAGAGCTCAACTCAGTGAAAGCACTGCCTGCTGACCAATCAGAGCTCAGTGTGCGGAGTTTAAAGCGATCAAGTCATATTACAGGAGAAAGGAAATACAGAAAAGCTGCCGTTGCAGGAAAGACGGCCGGCAAAAATCACCGACTGTGTGAACGTGAACATTAATAGAATATCACCTCCATCTTCAGAGCAATCTGACTATTATAACATTAGTGTTAAGAAAGCTTACTTAAATATCTGCCACAACATAAGTAACCGGATCAGAGTAACATTAAGTACAGTCCGCGGCATATCACTTCATAATGAATCATATATTTTCTTATCTGAGTCAGCTGAGCTCAGACTGTATGCAGAAGTATTATTTTAAGCAACACATTAAGTTGACGAAACACTCGAGACAAATGTAATTAAAGTCAGATCGTGTCTTAGACGGGCAGTGATATCATAAACCTGTTAATGTACGCATTCAAACACTTGTTCTGTTACCAGCTGTGTTCACCTTGCAGGTGCAGCTCTGTGGCTTTGATCCTGGATAAAGTGTTTAAGTCATGGATGTTTAAAGTGTAACTTCTTCATATGTCTAATATTAGAGTTCACTTTTCATTCAGGAAGTATGACGCTGCACTGTCAGTATGCTTCTCCATGTCTGTGATTGGTCGAATGCTCCAGATACCACCCCTTTCATGTGAACACCTAACTAGATAGGACACGGCTGGCTTGAGCGATCCACTTGATAACCCGCATCGTAGTACAGTTTAGCGAGAGCGCGTATGTTTTGGATTAGGCCAACCGGCTAACTCAAACATATCCAGGTTAGGTTGAACCAGCTTCGTAGTACAGGCCTCTGGTCCTCTTGATTGTGTTAATCTGTGTTATATGCAAATGAGCTGTGCGGTTGCCCTGACGTCATTGGCTGCCATCTCCTGGTCCGCCCCCTGAAGATTGTGATTGGAGCACGCCGGGCCCGACGCACTCCAATCGCAGCGCACAGCCGGCGCGCACCTGCTGGAGATGACTACAAAGCCTGTGACTGACGATCACTCTGGAGGCTCTGTTGGGTGAACAGACGCCTCTCGCTAGTGGCTAGTTTGTGTGTGAATGTGTTCAACAGTAGGTTAACTTGTGGGGTCCGTGTTGATCAGTATTATTGTGATTAGATGTGTCTTGATTAGTTGACTTTACACTGACTTTACAACACCTCAAACAAGGACATGGAAGAGCATCTCATGAGATACAGGCTTTCCTTCAATTGGCTTCAACAGAAACTCTATCACAGATTGTGTTGTTGTTTTACCTTGTTGCCGTTTACACTCCCCACAATGAAAGAAATGACTTTGTCTGTTATTCCCAGATTCTTCAGCACTGGGTGCATTGTTGTGTCTGCAGGGAAGCAAGCAGAACATTCAATATATCTGTTAGAGAATATTTCTTCTCTCTTCCTAAGTGTCAAATAATAATTCTTCCTTACTCCTAAGATATTTAACCTTATTGCCTGTTGACGTTTTACGACCAAACCCTGGCTCTGTTATCTCTCTTAAGGAATGGGAGGCTCCAGCTATCTTGATAAACCAGTTCAACTCTCGGTCACAAAATGGTTTACGGCTGTGGGAACGCTGGCTTCTAAACACCACTGACAAGTGATTGAGTATTTCTAGTTGGGGGATAATCTCCTCTAGCTCCACAGATGTTTACGCCTCCCCCAATATGCTCATTAACTCTCTGTAAACTAGTTAAAAGGTCTATCGAGAGATAGGCTGGGCAGAATTGACATGACAACCCACCCGTGCAGTCAGAACCTTTTGCTGCTGTGACTTGTGATATGAATTCTCCGGCCGTTGACTTGTAATAAACTACCAGTGTTTGACATCAAAGCTCCAACTCTCCTCGTGTCTCTGAGTCCTGACTCTCCATTGCAGTAAGTTTGCCTTACAATACCCACAGAAAGCATTTGCATAATCATACACTGTGCTTTTTCTGCTCCTCCTAAGACATATGGTGGTGGGAGGGAAGACACTCTGCGGCATTTGTTGCAAAAATACATTTCACAAGCAGAGTTCTCACTTATTTCACAACCTTTAAGAGTTGTTTTTATCAAGTCCATAAAATGATATCTAGAAATCTGTTTAGGCATTTTAAAACGTACACATTATCAAACCTGATATCCTCAAATCAGCGAGAATCAGGATGTGAATTGCCTACTTTTACACTATCCCTGAGTCATAAGTGTCATAAGTCTACAGTGGTAGACATGCAAGTTTAAAAGTTAGCTTGTAAATGTGTTTAAACAATACTGTACATTAAAGACAGCATTCTTCACAGATATCTCACCTTGCAGCACGACAGACAGTTGCTCCCCTGCCGATCTTTTCAGAGAGATGTCAACAGTGTCCGAGGACAGGATACCAAACAGCTTCTCCACCGACTCCACCTAGCCACCAAAAAACACTTTTAGGGGATGCAGTGAATAGTAGAATAATATTCGATCGATCGTTAAAGGAATTGGCAAAAACATCAGGAAAGTGTGTTTTTAGGGCTCAAATATAAAGATGTACTGCTTTAATCAGTTTTATTTAGTATTAAAGTGAATATTTTGGGGTTTTTGAGGTGAGGTTTCTGGATTTTGAGAAACTAGGATGGATATTTTACAATATATTTTAAAATGTTATAAACCAAAACAGCTTCTCCACCGACTCCACCTAGCCACAAACAAACACTTCTAGGGGTTGGAAAAGTATACCAAAAAAGATTGAATGACTATTTTCATAATATTGATCAATCGTTAAAGAAATTGATCGACTAAAAACTTCAGAAAATTGTGTTTTAAGGGCTCAACTATAAAGATGTACTGCTTAATGTTAAAGTGAATATTTGTGTGGGTTTTGGACTGACAAAGAAAGATATCACTTTGCATTTTGAGAAACTACATGGATGTGTTTCAATATATTCTAAAATGTCAGACTCCAAACGATGAATCGACCAGAAAATAATCAGCAGTTGAATCAATCATGAAAAGTCTTTAGTTGCAGCTCTAATTAGTCTGGCACTAATGCACATTTCTCAGAGTTATTGAAGTGACTGTTATTTTCTATATATTGATTGTTGTGCTTTTATTTAGGTCTAAATGTGTGCATGTGTATAAATGTGTCTTTTGATTGTGTGTATATAGGTATATACATATTTGTATATATCTTTGTTATTGTATTCGGGATTGTGAGAAACGGTATTTCGATCTCTCTGTACACACAAACTGAAAGATTGACGATAAAGTTGACTTTGAAAACATTAGGTAAGCCCATACTGTATCTTCCTGTGGAGAAGTGTATATGTTAGTCTGTGTGTGTTCATGCTTGTATACCTTGAGGACAGACTTGTTGCAGGTGTCCAGCGAGACGTCTGCAGGCTGTCGGAGGCAGAAGAGGTTCGGCAGAGAGGAGATCACTGATTGGTCCAGCTCTGGTCTGGCTGCATCAGCATCATCATGGCTGCTTAAGTGGGGCAGGATTTGTTGCACTGCTGCTATTCTCACACTGTTAAATAATGAGCAGACATTATGTCAAACTTGGGAGTTAAATAATGAATTCAAAAACCCTACTGTTTTAAAACAGACAGATTAAAAGCACAGCTCTATTCAAGAGCCTTTTGTCTGCATTGGGTTGAACATGTAACCTTCCTTTGAGGGGTTTTTGGACACAACATCCAAATGGAAGAACATGAGGCAGGGCAAATTAAGTGCTTTTGCAAGAATTGACCAGGACTTGTCTCCCGGTCAGGGTTCATTTCAATCTCAATCAGTATTCATAGGCTGGGACTGGACGTTTGAGGCCTCACAAAGAACCGAAATGACTTGATAAGAACATGAGCAGACAGGGACAGACGGTGGTAATATGTCCATTACTTTACGTGTTGTAACGCAGAATATTAAGACCTCCAGGAGTTCATCTGGTGCATAAAAAAAACCCTACGACGTCAAACATGCAGAAGAGGCATATCATCACATCCCTGTTTCAAATAAACCCAGAGAGACACAAATAAACAACAAAGGAGCCCAGACTCACGTGGGTTGTTTAGTGAAAAGGAGTCGCAGCGCTGCTTTCAGCTTGGCTTTGCTTGGAAAGACGTCCGACATGTCACTTATCAGCAGGACACAGTTTCCCAGCGAGTCTTCAGTGCCGGCATAGCCCTGACACGCACACACACACAGTCAATTCTCAGAAAGCTTTGGCAGACAATGCACCAAACAATGGGGAATTCCGGCTAAGCAGCCCAACAGTAAATAAAATATGCATCGCTTTGATTATGGCTGGTTTCATTCCGTCGCCCGTTGACGTGGCAGCCCATCTCTGAATGGCCTCCTTGAATTGAATCACACTTGACAGCGTAGTGAAACTCTCATGTATATTCATGAAGTGTTTCCAGGCTCTCTGTTGCCTGAAACTGTTATGCAATTAATAAAAGATTTGTTCCCCACCCAAAAAGGAAAACAATACAACACAGAATATGTAAATGAGGGAATAACTACACTGGCAGCTCAATATGCCGCCTTTGTGGCTAAAAGTGAACTTTTGATCATCGTTGTTTTGTGGAGAACATGTAACACTTCCTGCAGCTCGAGAAATATAATAAGCGCCAAACCTACAAATACAACATCTAAGGAGAGCACGGCACCTGTAACACGGGCATGACCGGGTGAAGTGCCTCGTTGAATCTGTCCCAGGTGGATGCTGTCATCATCAATCGTCCTTTCAGCACGAATAGCAGGATATCCTTGGCGGCGACGTTCACCTATAGATCACAGGTAAACTGCTGAATTCACAATGACACTGCTGACAAAACATTTACCAGCGAGTAATGAAAGTGACAGACGTTTAAACTACATGACACCCCGGTCATCCCTGACGCTTTATCATGAGCTTAAAGTCATGTACTTTTAAAAAGAACATGGAAATCTATTGAGTACTTGTGTTTGATTAGATGCATTTGGTTCAACCTTGACCCAACACATTGAATGAATGTAATGTTCTGCCACTAGGGGTCTCAATCTAATAACAGATGGATTTTGGTGGCGTTGGGAAGTAGCATGGGATCATGGGAGTTGTCAATGCACTCGGCTTGTTCATAGTTTAGGAGGTATTTATCAGGAGCATAATTATCCGCAGTAAAAGTCTGAGTAAACCAGTAAAACTACTAAAGTAAAATCTGTGTTTGTTTTCCAATACTATTCATGAGACAAAGGATATTGGGTGATGTGCGAGCTAATAGCTACAATTTGCTCAGCTTGATTCTCACGGGAGATGACTGAAATCCTTTATCCCGTTGAAAGATAGCGTTAAAAAACATAAAAATGTTAAAAGTGTACGGTACAAACCGGCTTTAAACTGGATAAAAAAAGTCCATTTATGGCAGCTTACGGCAGACAACGCTTACAGACGGGGATACAACAGGCGACCAATTATAATGTACACATATCAAGTAAATGTATACCTCAGGTGTAGTTGGTTATGGATAGCAGGAATATTGTTATATAAGAAGTGGCCAGAAGCAAGATGCTCCAGGAGGTCTAGAAGTCTAATTGCTTCTGTGGAGATACAGGTGTTACAGGTGTTACAGGTGTTACAGGTGTTACAGGAGTGTTGCGTACCTTCTCTGCAGAATCCTGGAGTCCGAAAGCAGTGATTTCATAGAGCACCCTGTGGTGGATAAGGAAGTTGAGTCCGCCGCAGGCCGCCACTTCCTTTCGTGCCACATTCTGGATGCCGAGGCAGTCCTAAGGGTGTATGTAATCACACCAAAGCACATCATAAATTATCGCCATCCTCTCCAGTTCCAATTCAATTTAAAACGTAGCCGCGTACTCCAGATGGTGGTTAGTAAAAAAAACGAAAAAAGCAAGTCTGATTTCAAATGTCAAGTGGGGGTTTTTTTTATCGCTCGCTGTCACACATTCATCCATCTTCATATATCGGCTTATTTACATATGGGTTCCCCAGCAAGCTGCTTTAGAGGCCGTTATTTCATCCATGAACCTGAATGTAAGTGCGTGTTAGATGGATGTTCTGACCTTGGCCAGGCGTAGAGTGCATTGGTATGTTTCCGCTCTGACAGGCAGTAAGGGATGAGACAGAAGCTTCAGGAGGAGTTTCTGGCTCTCTCTTTGGAGGAGGGGGCTGGGATCATCAAACGTCCACCTAGTGATGGACAACCACAGGAGTTAAAGCATGCATGAAATACACCTGCAGTGACTATATAACCCCCTATAGACCCCCCCCCCACACACACACACAGATTATAACACCCCTTGTTGTTAAATACCAACCAACTATGTGCAATAGTTCTTTGATTTGATTTGATTGATTTATTTAGAATAAGTAAAACAATAATACAAAAATGTAACATGATAATTATTGTACAATACAAAATGAATCAGTGTCAAATTGATATACACAAATATTACTGATTGTAAATTATGTATAAACAAATAATCTACTTAATTACACATCTGAAAAGGGGTGGGAAGAAGTTTACACTTATTTAACCCTTCGATGCCCTTAGAGTGACTGGACCCTACACTCGTCCATAAGTGGGTCAAAAAGGACCCATATTAGAATAATGTGTTTTTATGCCATTTTGGTAAAGAGAAATCACTTGTATAATATTTAGTATTATATTTTGGTTCACATTAGAAATATTTTATATTTAATTTTTCACTATTTATAATTTTAAACATTTCTTTTACATTTTGAAAAAAAAAACGAAATTCCATAGAAAACGCATGCGGGTCATTTTTGCTTGGGGTAGAAATACAAAAACTACAATTTCTTAAAATATAAATTTAAAATGTGAATGGCGTGATATCCAAAACATGTTTTTTGAGGAATAGCTGGAATATGAAATTATTAAAAAAATGTTATTACAAAGATACTCTTAGAAAACCACCTCACCGGGTCAAAAAAGACCCACTTATGCATCTAAGGGTTAATCCACCCCTTCTCCCAATTACTAACATTTGTTAATAAAAAACATAAAACAACAAATAAATAAACAGATACATTAACAAACAAATAAACAAACAAATACATAACAGAGGTAAATGATAATCAAGAAAAGTGGCCATCAAACTCTTTAACTCTTGACCCTTCAATAAAGGGAACTGAGAACTTCCAACACTATGTGCAATATCAATATCACTACCATCATTACAAAACACAACATATATAACATGTGCAATATTATTTTTATTATTAATAATGTGCTATGATAACGTCCAATTACGTATCTGCCACTACGGTTAGTTTTGCACTACTAAATACTGGTAATATTTACATTAATGATTTGTTTCCTGTAGATATTTAACTGCTCTTGTTACTGCACTGTTAGTGTACAGTTTCACTATCATGCTGCTGTGTTTATTGTATTGTTGTAACTCTGGCACAACAATGTCCTTCGGGATGAATACATCCTTATCTTATCTCTTATGTGCAATATATATAGATGCCGTTAATAACTGTGCAATATATACCTGGCTGCTAAATCTTCAGAACTGTTACAGGATGTGTATTTTGTAATTTTTGTAATCTTTAATACTTTTCTACGCATGTTTCTTAGGTAACATTAAGCTGTCTTTGGCCCTTTTTATGCTGTAACAAAGTACATTCCCCCTCTGTGGGGCTCATCAAGGTGTTCTGATTGTGATTCTTCACATTGTGAGGTTTGAACGTACAGGTGAGAGCAGATGTGGACACACTCCTTGACGATGGGGAGGTGTTGGTGCAGCGAGAGGCCGTTTATCGCCTGGTCTGCCAGCTCCAGCAACTCCAACCAGTTCTTCTCTCCCTTTGTGAGGAGATGAATACATTAGTGAAGAAGATGAAGATATACAACGCCCATATGAGTGATGGGCTAAACAGGTTAGTGACAGCTGAATGTGTGCAAGAGTGGTTTTTGATTTAGAGCAATACTTCATCCCTACGATGAGCAGTTGTTTATCAATCATCATTTGAATTCTTGGAGAAAAGCTAGTTTTTAGTCTCAACGGAAAACAACAATTTAGAAAATGGAGAAAAGTCTTGATGAAATTAGGTTTTTAAGACTTCACCGAAGCAGAAATGAATATGTTTAGAAAGTAGTAAGCACACGTCTTCAATTCATGTAGTTTTTCCCAGTTTCTTATTATTTGTTCCAAGTAATCTTCTACAATTCAAGGTTGCACAGACATTGAAGTTAATATCCAAAGATCCTCTTGTGGTTGCTAGTTGTCTCAACGGAGAACAAAAATGTAAAAAATTGAGAAAAGTCTTGTTGAAATTTGGTTTTTAAGAATCTATGATATATCGTGCACTAAAATTCAAGTCATATTTATTCAGTTGTATGCTCACTACTTCTAAATACTACGCACAACCCTTACTGTTTAACGTCTCACCTAAGCAAAACTGAATATGTTTGAATAGTAGTGAGCACACGTCTTCAATTCATGTAGTTTCCCCCAGTTTCTTATTCTTTGTTCCAAGTTTTCTTCAACAATTCAAGGTTGCACAGGGGGTGAGGTTGATATCCAAAGATGTGGGTGAAGTATTCCCTTAAGGAAGCAGGTTGTTTATCTGTGTAAATATTCCCTGCAGGGCTGCTTGTGTTGACTCTAAATAAGTGCCTCACCTCAGCTTGTGCTTCCTTCATGAAGTTGCAGGTGGACTCCATCCAGAGGGCGGCGCGGCTCACCCTCCTGTAGAGGTCGTGGCTGTCAGAGTTCACCTGCTCCAGGTAGGCCACCGCTGCCTGGTGCATGCTGGGTAATAAACTCCCCAACGACGTGTCCAAGCACAGGTGGAAAATAGCGGTTGCTGTGCTTTCTGGGAGATGTTCACCAGCCTGTGTGAGGGGGAGAAACCTTCATTACAAACCTTTCTCTGGAGTTTAGGTAAATGAATCACAAAGAAATGAAAAGGGAAAGTACAGTAGAGACTGTCACAGTCAAATTGATAATATAAACAAATTAATATATTTATATTTTCATTATATCTCCTCAGGATTACCGTCTAATTCATATTTATATATTTACGGCATTAATATTGAGAACTGAAACACACATAAGATTTTACTGAATCGCCTGATTGTTTCGAATGCTTTTAAAATGACGTTGCAAAGTATACATTAAATACAACGTAATATAGAGTACAGTACTGTATATACACTATAGGTTACTGTCGTCTAAAGCCTAAAATAGTATTGTGCTTTTTACAAAAACAGTGATTTCAGTAGTGATTATAGGCTATCAGCTTTGCACCAGTTTCAGTACATTTCTAGATTTTACATCAGGCTTGAAAGAAAAATACAGTTTCGTGGCAATAAAGTTGAAAAAATATATAATTACTGTGTGTGGATGATTACTATATGTTAAGTCTCAACATGAACACTGTAAGCGGATTATTTAAACAGCATGTGTGTGGTTATGAATCTTTTGATAGCTAATCAGCTGCAGGTGTCCCTTGAAAAAGAGATCATTGATCTCAAGGGGATTTTACCTGGATAAATAAAGGTTTTGAATTGAATCAGTCTTTTGATCGCTAAAGGTGGTTTCCACTATGTTGTGATTTGCTCATAGGTGCCCACACACCTTCTCAGGAGGGAGGATGGTCTGCAGGAGTTTGATGGTGAGTATAGAGACGCTTGAGTATGCCATCCTGTGATGAACCTGAGCGCTGCGGGGAATATCTGCTGAAACGCTCTGATGGTAGCTGAGGATTTCCCCCAATAGCTCCATGCAGGCTTGCAGCTTTTGCTTCTAAAAGAGAACACACACAGAGAGACAGAAATGAAGACAAAAGCACAGCAGGCAAACACACCACACACACACACAGTCAGACACACACACACACACACACACAGTCAGACACACACAGTCAGACACACACACACACAGTCAGACACACACACAGTCAGACACACACACACACACACACACACACACACACACACACACACACACACACACACACACACACACACACACACACACACACACACACACACACACACACACACACACACACACACACACACACACACACACACACACACACACACACACACACACACACACACACACACACACACACACACACACACACACACACACACACACACACACGTTAGGAATTGAATGTAATCAGATTTCAGGGTTATTTTAGGACGAGATACAGATCCACGCTATCTCAGTCTGAATAAATTGGAACAATCTATTCTCAGCCACTTTGTTCCAGGGAGGAGAAATTAAACAAAGGACGGTTTCCACCAGCAGGGGGCAGTAGATGTCCTGTGCATTGCTGCGGCTGGCGAGAACAGTTTTGTCCGATTCCCAGAGGAAAAACCTCGAAGTCGAGAACAAACCGGTTCTCAGGCTGCGAGCTCTGGGCATGTTTTAAACAGCAGAGGGCCACAGGGGCCGGGCCCTGACAAGTGTATGTGTCCCCTCGCATAGGAACACACAGTCTTTACAGTCAGGGAGGATAACAAACTGTGTGCGTTGAAGAAACACCATGCAATGTGTAAATAGAGACATTAACAAACCCAACATTGATTCAGATGAGAGGTGTGAATGCCTGTGAAGCCCTTTGTAGCTTTTTATAATTCATTCAGCTCCATCACATGCCTACACTTGACAGTGAAGCACCGTATGCCTGTGTGTCGCTGGCAAATTGTCTGGAGGCCAACAAACCCCCACCACCACCCCTTCAGTGAAGTGTATCCATTCATCTACATAAGAGGCTTTGTCACGAGTCGTGTTTTGACTTGCCAGCTCCGTCCCCACCAGGCTGCGGTCGTCCCACACCAGCTCGCAGACGCTGTCCCCGAGCAGGAGCACGCCGCCGCTCAGCAGCTCCAACACACGGTGGAACACGTGAGAAACCTCTGGGAGAGGAGAGAGGAGGAGAGAGGAAACTGAGAAGGAGACGCAGACTGAGTGTAGGAAGTGTTGGGAACATCCTGAATGTCCTCTTCCAATATCAGAGTCACGTGATAACAAAGGTATCCCAACTGTAGCTGTGAACATGACAGGATGTGTGATTACCTAGAAGAGCATCAGGACTGTTTGAGGCAGATGATAGCTATGTGATTAACATGATGATTCAGCCTCTATGGAGAGAGACATCAAGCATGCTCATTTCTGACGTGGAGCTAATCTGAACTAAACATTGAATACTGCTTTCTATTCCTCCATCTTGTGACTGTGTGACTCCCTCTCTTGGATATCAGCATGTGAAGGACACTGTTCAGGAACTAGTTGATGCTCTGTATGTGATGACTCCTTCCATTCTGGAGAGGATCACAGATACATGGATCCTGAGGTTGAAGCTCAAACTGGGGACGAGGGATTATTAACATTTTAAGTATTCAGAAAAAAGTCTGAATTTTGAGAAAAAATCCAGAATTCTGAGATTTTTTAGAAAAGTTATAATTTTGAGAGAAAGTCAATTTTTTTTAGAGAAAGTCCAAATGTTGAGATTTTGAGAAAAAGTCAACATTTTGAGAACAAACTTAGTATTTTGTTCATAACAGCATGTATGGTTACCTAGAAGAACCGGTATTCCTCCATCTTGTGACTGTGTAACTCCCTCTCTTGTCTATCAGCATGTGAAGGACACTGTGCAGGAACTACTTGATGCTGTTGACCTGTCTATTGTTTTTTAATTGCACATTTTATTACATTGTTAGGCTTCTTACATGTTCAGGTGCTACATGCTGTATTGAAGAAGACTTGAAACTTGAAAGTGAGACCAAAAAAAGGAAATCAATCAAGTGAGAAGTAGAGTCATTTTCCCATAGACTTCTATACAATATTAATGTATCTTGGAATTAGAGTCACCCCCTGCTGGATATTTGTTTGTATACATGTACATAAAAAGCCACAATAACACCCACCTGTTTTCAGCAGCGGTATGGCTTGTTGCATGGTGGCTACGGTGAACTGAGCGAGAGTGAGCTGCTGTAGCTGTAGCTCCAGAACATCCTCCACACCCAGGTCAGGAAGATCCAGGTGGGCCAAATCTGCAGGAGACTGGGGGGACTGGGGAGGGGCCTGGACTGCTGCTCCACCTCTGTGAGAGCTGCCACTGGAGGAAGACAAATATTAAAGGTCACCTATTATGCAACATCCATTTGTTCATGTCTCTTCTACATCAACATGTGTCCCCTCTTCTTCATGTCTCTTCTACATCAGCATGTGTCCCCTCTTCTTCATGTCTCTTCTACATCAACATGTGTCCCCTCTTCTCCATGTCTCTTCTACATCAACATGTGTCCCCTCTTCTTCATGTCTCTTCTACATCAACATGTGTCCCCTCTTCTTCATGTCTCTTCTACATCAGCATGTGTCCCCTCTTCTCCATGTCTCTTCTACATCAACATGTGTCCCCTCTTCTCCATATCTCTTCTACATCAACATGTGTCCCCTCTTCCTCATGTCTCTTCTACATCAACATGTGTCCCCTCTTCTTCATGTCTCTTCTACATCAACATGTGTCCCCTCTTCTTCATGTCTCTTCTACATCAACATGTGTCCCCTCTTCCTCATGTCTCTTCTACATCAACATGTGTCCCCTCTTCATCATGTCTCTCCTCCATCAACATGTGTCCCCTCTTCTTCATGTCTCTTCTACATCAACATGTGTCCCCTCTTCCTCATGTCTCTTCTACATCAACATGTGTCCCCTCTTCTTCATGTCTCTTCTACATCAACATGTGTCCCCTCTTCTTCATGTCTCTTCTACATCAACATGTGTCCCCTCTTCCTCATGTCTCTTCTACATCAACATGTGTCCCCTCTTCATCATGTCTCTCCTCCATCAACATGTGTCCCCTCTTCTTCATGTCTCTTCTACATCAACATGTGTCCCCTCTTCTTCATGTCTCTTCTACATCAACATGTGTCCCCTCTTCTTCATGTCTCTCCTCCATCAACATGTGTCCCCTCTTCTTCATGTCTCTTCTACATCAACATGTGTCCCCTCTTCTTCATGTCTCTTCTACATCAACATGTGTCCCCTCTTCTTCACGTCTCTTCTACATCAACATGTGTCCCCTCTTCTTCACGTCTCTTCTACATCAACATGTGTCCCCTCTTCTCCACGTCTCTTCTACATCAACATGTGTCCCCTCTTCTTCATGTCTCTTCTACATCAACATGTGTCCCCTCTTCTTCATGTCTCTTCTACATCAACATGTGTCCCCTCTTCTTCATGTCTCTTCTACATCAACATGTGTCCCCTCTTCTTCATGTCTCTTCTACATCAACATGTGTCCCCTCTTCTTCATGTCTCTTCTACATCAACATGTGTCCCCTCTTCTCCATGTCTCTTCTACATCAACATGTGTCCCCTCTTCTTCATGTCTCTTCTACATCAACATGTGTCCCCTCTTCTTCACGTCTCTTCTACATCAACATGTGTCCCCTCTTCTCCATGTCTCTTCTACATCAACACGTGTCCCCTCTTCTTCATGTCTCTTCTACATCAACATGTGTCCCCTCTTCTCCATGTCTCTTCTACATCAACATGTGTCCCCTCTTCTTCATGTCTCTTCTACATCAACATGTGTCCCTCTCTTCTCCATGTCTCTTCTACATCAACATGTGTCCCCTCTTCTTCATGTCTCTTCTACATCAACATGTGTCCCCTCTTCTTCATGTCTCTTCTACATCAACATGTGTCCCCTCTTCTTCATGTCTCTTCTACATCAACATGTGTCCCCTCTTCTTCATGTCTCTTCTACATCAACATGTGTCCCCTCTTCTCCATGTCTCTTCTACATCAACATGTGTCCCCTCTTCTTCATGTCTCTTCTACATCAACATGTGTCCCCTCTGTGGAAAGAGACTCTGAAAGTTTCAGGAACAAAGATTCTCTCTTTTTGATCCATTTCTATAAAAACCTGTCTGAAAATGAGCTGATCAGATTTTGGCCACTTTATGATGTCATAACGATGTTTTGTCTTGTGTAACCATTAGCCAATCAGCAACCAAGGTAACCCCCCCTCCCCCCCCCCCCCTTATCCCCTGAATCTCCTCCTAGAGCTCCATTGAGTTCTTTGTAACCAAACCTCTCTCAGAGGGGCGTGGGGAGGGGCTCCTTATTTTCATCTAAAGTAACAGACAGAGAATCAGCACTTTGGAAACAGGGCTGAAACAGAGGGGATTATGGGTAATGCTGCAATGATCTGTTTGGTGTTTCAGCCAATCAGAGACAGGCTCTGTATATATCTGAGACCTGTGATATATTGATGAAGAACAGGATAATAGGGGACCTTTAAGACAAATCACTTTTCAAAATCATTCATCCCCTCTGCACTCAAACCTTTTAATTCTTGATAGGTTTCGATTGTTTATTTACTTACTTATTTATTGTGATGCTATGAACTGTAAATTGTGTAAATTGGAATGATCCATATCCAGGGGTGTATCTATGTCCTTTCTGATTGATTGATTGATTGAGCTGTGTAGGGATGGATCCTAAAAACTCCCATCATGGAAATCAGAAGTGATATTTGAATATTTCAGACCAGCCGCGAGAGGGCTCCTGTTGATGCTCATATTCAAAATAATAACGTAATCCTCCGCTGCCTCGCTCACGTCGCTTTATCTCAGTGTGAGAGCTGCAAGTGTCACCAGCTATTTAGTCATTATCAAAGCTACAAAAATCCCACTTCTCAAAAAGCAAGACGATCGTGTTGAGTTCACAGTCTGATGAACAGAATTGACAACAATGCTGAATCAAAGCAAAACGATATTGCTACAACCAGCAGACAGACTCCATTTGTGCCTCAGAAGTGTGACAGCAGGAAAACTGAGTTAATCTCTGCTCTCACTGCCAACGTGATTGCTGAAGACGTGCAAATAAAGAAAGGCTTAGACAGCAGGAACAGCGAGACCTGATGTGCCCAAAGTGAGGAAATTATTTATTTTTCAGCTGTGTTGACAGTAAATGGAGTTTTCCTGTTTTTTCAGCTTTGTTCATTTAACGAATGTGCATTTAAAAAAGAGGAATAGTTTTTGTGGAAACTAAAAAGGTCCCATGGGGTCAGATTAACATGTTCCAAAGGGGGGTTCGTTTAGCATGAAACACTTGAAATAACTAAAGGATAAGTTAAACAAGAAAGTAGAAAGAAAGTGAGGTCATAGAAAACTATTTCTGCTAAAAAGTGAGCAATGATTGAGACAGAGCTAAACATTTCAGATGTGTGTATCACACACACACACACACACACACACACACACACACACACACACACACACACACACACACACACACACACACACACACACACACACACACACACACACACACACACACACACACACACACACACACACACACACACACACACACACACACACACACACACACACACACACACACACACACACACACACACACACACACACACACACACCACACACACACACACACACACACACACACACACACACACACACACACACACACACACACACACACACACACCATGTATACATCACTTCAGGGGACATTACATTGACTTACATGCATTTCCTGGAGACTTATCCTAACCTTAACCATAACCAACACATGCCTAACCCTTAACCTAACCCTTAACCTAACCCTTACCCTACCCCTAACCCTAATCCTAAACCTAACCCTTACCCTAACCCTTAACCTAACCCTTACCCTACCCCTAACCCTAATCCTAAACCTAACCAAGTCTTCACCCTAAAATTAATGATTCCCCTCATGGGGACCTGCATTTTGTCCCCATAAGGGAGGCCAGTCCCCACACGTGACTGTGTAAACAGATCTCGGTCCCCACAAGTATAGTAATGCTAGACCACACACACACACCCACACACACACACACACACACACCTGGTGGACGCTGCGTCTCCGTCCTGTCCGTCTCCACTGGCTCTCTGGCCGGTGCGTCCCACCACCGAGGGCCGAGGAGAGCACTCGCCCCCCGGGGAGGAGGCCTGGGAACGCTGCGTGCCTCTCACCTCCTGGGAGTAGGAGAAGGACGAGTTCTGGGACACTGGATCTACACGACCAGGGACAGAAAAGAGGACATTAGTTGCACAAAGACGCTGTGGGATAAAGAAGAGAGAGGAATAAGGTGTGGGTGTTTTTTGATTTGATTAGATTTATTTTGAATGTGTAAAACAATAATACAAAAATAATAATAATAATGAAATTAAACATGAGAATTATTATATTATACCAAGTTAAGCAGTGTCAAATTGATATACAAAAATATTACTGATTCTAAATTATATATAAACAAATGATCTACTTAATTACTTGTTTGAGTTATTCAAGAACTGCACTTGAGTACAATTTTGTGAGGTTGATTACTTCAATGTTTTGCAGTTATATAGTATATTAATGTATATTATAAGAATAAGGTGGTGCTGTTTGAAGTAGTTATTCATGCTGAGTCCATTTAACTTTTTTAATCTCAGCTAAAAACTCACCTCTTTGCACTGGCTGTTAATACCAGTTGAACATAACATTTGTATATGTTTCTAGTTATTGTGCTTTTTCTCATGTTTTAAAATATTGTTTTATTATTTCTCTCCCATTGTGCTATTGATATTGTATTTACTCCCTGTCCCTGTGGTCAACTGAGGTTGTTTTAATGTGCTATAGAAATAAACAAAGATTGATATTGAGATTCAAGAACTGCACTAGAGTATAACTTGTAGTTAGTATATTTCGGAGGCTTAATTTGTACTTGTTGCCTCACTTCATGTATCTGACATCTTAAGTTACTTTGCAGATACAGGTTCTAATTACAAACATAAATCATGTACTAAACTAAGATACATTATGATCGGTTAGGCTACCCAGAAGTATACAGGGCAATTAAAGAAAGCTCCACCTTTATTAGCTGCATCAATATTCAAAGTCCGATAATATAATATGTAAATTATTACTTTTGGTAGTTTTGTACTTTCACTTGGGCAGCTATTGGAAGTATAGCAATAGCTACAGTTTAATGAAATCAAAATGTATTTGTGTAGGTCTTTAGGAATTTGTCACTTGCCCTATCGCAACCAAATAACAAATTGGTTTAAAGATTATGTGTACATAAACAACCACATGTACGAAACGGCTGCATCTCATATTGTTAGAAAAATATCCCCGGCTTGAGCTTCAACCTCAGGATCCATGTATCTGTGATCCTCTCCAGAATGGAAGGAGTCATCACATACAGAGCATCAACTAGTTCCTGAACAGTGTCCTTCACATGCTGATATCCAAGAGAGGGAGTTACACAGTCACAAGATGGAGGAATAGAAAGCAGTATTCAATGTTTACTTCAGATTAGCTCCACGTCAGAAATGAGCATGCTTGATGTCTCTCTCCATAGAGGCTGAATCATCATGTTAATCACATAGCTATCATCTGCCTCAAACAGTCCTGATGCTCTTCTAGGTAATCACACATCCTGTCATGAACACAGCTACAGTTGGGGTACCTTTGTTAGCATGCTACTCTGATGTTGGAGGAGGACATTCAGTATGTTCCCAACACATACCTTGCTTTGTGGAGAAGAAGCTTGGATCCTGATGAAAGCGGAGTCTCCTCCTCAGCCCCACACACAGCTGCCTCAGGCAGGAGAGCGCCTGCAGGTGGAGGAACCTCGACTCACCTTTACCTGAACCCAGCCTCAGCAGGGACAGCAGGTTCTGCAAACACAGGCCAGATCAGAGGAACACTGTCACTGGGAAGCTGAGATATAGAAGGTTTTCAGAAGAATGTAGGATATGATAGATATATAGATAGATGGATACTTTATTTATCCCAATTTGGGAAATTCTTTTGTCGCAGAAGTGTGTTCAGAATACAAGAATACAATACTTAAAATCAGGGGGGTCAAAATCAATTTAATCGCGGGTCACATCAGCATTATGGTTGCACTCAAAGGGCCGGGTATAACTTTAAGAATATATAAATATACATATATAAGTATATATAAAATATTGTATTATATTACATTATTGCCTCTGCATTAGATTATTATCGGAGAGGGTAATAACTTCATAATTAACTACGTCTGAGAAGTCTAGGGGCAAATAATTGCAAGTCTCTTTGCATGTCACACAAAGAGATGCATTGTGGGACATGTAGTTTATGGGCAACGTGCTTCTGTAAAGCGGCATGTAATCGTATAATAAACATATTATATTCTTTGCAAGCTCTAGATGGCCACATAAAAAGAAGTCGGGCCTAGAGTTTGACGGGGTGTCAAACTCTAGGCCCGACTTCTTTTTATGTTAAATAAATACATTTAAAGTGGAAAAGAGAATTAACATTAAAAGAGAATTAACATTAAACAAAATTATACAATATAAACAAGACAATATACAATATTCTGGATAATTAAAATAGAAAGTCAAAATACAACAGGATCCAAAACACTACAGGTCTTTTATAAGAACGGAGAAACTCAAACTGTAGCACCTAAACTCAGACAGTGCGAGAAAAGTTGTAATAAAAAGTTGAACTAAATTATTGAAGCAACAATTTGTTCAGACTCCCTGCTAATGATGGCATGTCTCTAAATCCAAGTCTTTTAATTTAACTTAATAGCTCCAGCTCCTCAGAGGAGAGTCGAGCAAAGCCACACGAGGAAGAGCAGAATGAGTTCTTTAGATGATGAGACTGCTGGGTGACAGTAATGCTGCCTTGAGACCGATGTTCCACTTTATTAGCAAAGTAGTAATGTTCACAGTGGGGCTAAATCATGTCTTCTCCAATACTTCGCCTATGAAACTGAGCAGTGGCGAACCGTCAGGGCCTTCAAGGTATTCAGAGAGTACCCTGGAACACTCAGATAAAACAAACACAAAATCGATTTAATTATATAAATAAAATGTAATAAAATGAATAAATGAGAATGGTATCCGTGTTGTTGATCTCTAATATCACAGTGTTACGTTGATTTGTTTGTCCTTCTGGGACCATGCACTACGCATTTCAGTGGTTTTGTGTTAGAAAAGAAAGCAACCAATCAGATCTTGTTCTGGGTCTCTGGGTAGAATATCCTTCAACCAGGTATTCTACATCCTTGATCGAAGGCCCTGGCCGTTGCACTGAATGAGAGCGTACGTTTGGACTGACAGTTTGATCAACCAATCATATATTGATTTGTAGCCAATGGGCGTGTTCTTTCAGAGTTTCCCCTCGGTTCCAGGTGCTCTAGAAGGCCCGCTAGTTAACTGGCTCGAGACAGAGGAGCTAGATGAATGCGACGAAGCAAATCATGCCGTTTTATTGTTTTTAACGTTGAAATGACAAGTGCAACAGGTGAAGAGGAAGTTGTTGCGGAATTGTTGTGAGTTCTATTTTCAAGACGACAATTCAGTGAAAAGACGGACAGTATAATGCCGCCAAGGGGGGGGGGGGTGTGTGTCTACAGAAGGTCCAGCTGTAATAGACACGGTTCGCCACTGAAACTGAGAGATAACAGAAGCACTTTGTTGCTAACAGTTTACATCAATACATGCAGGGATTTTTAGGCAAAGAAGATAAAATAAAGAAAACATAGAATGTAGATTTGCATCCGTTGTCTCATCTGGATTAAGTTACAATTAAAAATCCTGTTTGTATGAAGTAATGTGGAGCTGCAGAGATATAGCTGCCTTCAAATCTTATTCTACAGACTTGACGGAAATTGTTTGTCTGGTACAGATCCTCTTAATCTTTTGAATTATGATGCAAAAATGATCAATGCCTCAAAATGTGTGATTTTTTCAGAACTGTGCAGCCCTACTTGAAATGTAAAACAAGTAACATTTAGTTCGAAACACTCGCATGACACAAGCACATTAATACTTCCTGCAACGCCAACAAGACCAGGATGAGGACAGTTTGAAGGCCTGCAGACAACCTTTCACTTCACCAAGGATTAGTAAACCCTGCAGTAGATCCCCAGTCCCAGGAAAATAGTTATTTATTTCCAAATTGTGCAGCCCTACTTTAAATGTAAAACAAGTAACATTGAGTACAATAAACAAGCACCTTAATATGTCATTTGCAATAACAGATAGTTTAAATTCCTGCAAAGCCAACAACACCAGGACGAGGAGAGTTTGAACACTACTTTTACAGAATCTCTGATATTTAAGAACGCCTTAAAGCAGCAAAAAACTGCACCAAGGATGTTTAAACCCTGCAGTAGGAGCATCATGCCCACACTGTATCCTCTATACTCTGCTGCCTCCTGAAGCACATCACTTTGCCTCCTGAGGATCCTCAACCTCCAGAAGGATCAGGGACACACATTTATAAATGGGTGTTTTGATCAAGGACACCATTTGACAGGTTATTACTTTGACACTGGCTTGAATGACCATCTAATACATTATAGGATGGTTCACGGTCCCACTCGAGACAATGTCCGCTAATTGATGTGAATAAATAAGAAGAATATTTAAGTCAAGATCCAGCTTCTGACTATAATCATACATCCTGAACTGAAGTCAAAGCTACTCCAGTGTGCAAGTTGCAATAAAATCACTATGCACAACATCCCAGAGTTTCTGCTGCTACATTTTTAATATGTTATTATAATATAGCACAGTATACGCATGGACCTGCCGTTTGGGAGTCATCCATCTCTCGGTTTATCCCTGTTAGAATCGAGTCTGCAGTGTATCTCACACTTCACTGATCAAACTGAGAATTGAAACGCTGGGCTTCATAATCAAAGACAGTGTTTGTATCACAGCTGCTCATTAACTCCCCACACTCTCCCACTAAAGCTCTCATAGTGCAATAAAAGCATTTAATTCAACATGTACTTCAAAGCATTAAAACTAAGTTTTGTGTTGAGGTTTTTCCACTCACAATTCTAAACCACATGAGTATAGCTAAACATTAACATATGCACATTAACAATACTATAGTGAGCACAGGAACATGGTCATGTATTGATACCTGCACTATGCTGGGCCTTTGCAGGAAGATCTCAGCAGGAAAGTCTTGCATAATGACGTCACACAGGAGTTCACAGGTAGTCCGCACCAAGGCAGGGTTGCTGCTGCTTAGAGAACTGTTAAAAAAATTACACTTATTATACAAAACAACTTTTTTGACAGGTTGGCACAGATTTTCTCTTATTCTGGGTCACTTTAATACAAAATGTTCCTGAACTTTCTTTACCATGCCTATAGGCGCGTTCACACCAAGTACTTTCCCCACAAAGGTTCCTGAGAACTACGATGTAGTCGCGTTCACACCGAAAAGCCCCGGGAACTAAATGAGTTCATGAGAACCTTTTTTACCCCCTTTTCAGTCCCTGCTAGAGAGCAGCGACTTTCGTGGAAGAAAAAGGTTCCTGTGTCTGATTGGCTGGGCGGATTGCAGACCACGCCCCCTCAAACTCCCAAAAACGTTTGTGAAGCCGCCATTTTATTAACCTCGCATTAGCATTATTAGCATTAGCATTAGCCCAGCGCAGAAACGCAGAGAGACTAACTTATGGCAACACAAAATAAAACATGGGAGCGGTGGAGATGAGGAGGTGTCGGCGTTCTGGCGATTTACTCGGAAGGCTTCAGTAGAAGCTGCTGGGAGTCCCAGCAGCTTCTACTGAAGCCAGTCCCCAACTCCGGGGACTTCCGGCCGGGGACTCCGGGTGGCAGTATACGCCGTGAAGTGGTTTGCGGCCTGCCAGTAAACCCAAAGCAGAAGAAGAAGAAGTGACGTCAGTGGCTTCATTTGCCTAATCCACCCTCAGGGACTTATTCCGGTGTGAACGCGATCTGTACTTAGTTCATGCGAACTAAAGAGTTCTCAGGAACCTTTGTGGGAAAAGTACTTGGTGTGAACGCGCCTCTTGTTATTTGTTAGATACATGAATTGTCTCTCACCTCTCGTTGGATGACAGTATGTGTCTGTCCGTGTTCGTCAAAGTCAGCCATGGGAACACAGAAAACTTGAGACACCTCACAGACTCGTGCACTAAGGATAAAACATAAAAAAGACAATTATTAAACAGTAAAAACGTCATGCTATTAGACAAGAACAAAATTACAAAAAACCTGACTTTTCAAAATACTGTCGCCTTTTTATTTATTGTTTCTTTCTTATACTTGTATCTACGTCTGTTCTAAGCCTATAATAATACCTTTAATGTCTTTATTTATCATTATGAGCACTTGTTAATACAATATACAGTGTAAATGTGTACCTGCTATCTTCTGAGGCGCCACATCTGTATGGCTTGGCATGCCCTTGTGGAAATATCCCATTTCAGGTAGAACATCTGCAGGAGATAAAATGTATTTTCACACACTTAAAGCATCAAACTCTTATAAAGACAATCTTGCACTAATGTACATTCTCAAAGATATTTAAGTGACTGTTATTTTGTATATATTGATTGTTGTGCTTTTATTTCGGTCTTAAATGTGTGCATTAAATGTGTCTTTTGATTGTATATATATATAGGTATATACACATTTGTATTCATATTTTATATATATATATATTTGTATTTTGCATTCCTCGGGATTGTGGGAAACGGTATTTAGATCTCTCTGTCTGCAATAATAATAATAATAATAATATGTTATTTGTAAAGTACCTTTCATTGGTAAAAGTAACCCCAAAGCGCTTCAAGAGGCGTAATAGAAAAAAAAAGAAATACAAGTTTAATCGAAGGCTTTTTTTTAAATAAAGGTTTTTAGGCCTTTCTTAAACACAAACTGAAAGATTGACAATAAAGTTGACTTTGACTAAAGACAACACCCTCTCATCCATCAAATGATAAAACATGATGTGTTTTGTAGCAGAGAGAAGGAGAACTTGCAGCACCTGTTGGAGTTGTGTTGCGCTGTCCATGCGTGGAGACTGTGTTGTGGCTGGGGAGGAGTGGGGGGAGCAGGAACAGCTGGTCGAGGGTCCCGTCGATGACAGCTCGCAGGCTGGGCTCCACGTTACGAGACAGCTGAGAGAGGAAGTCTACCGCCCCGACGTCTCTGAGCATCTGGGCTGCACTCGGATGCTTGGAAGACACAAAATGAAAAATAGGTATTGTTGTGAAAATACTGAATGTCCTCTTCCAACATGAGAGTAACGTGATAACAAAGGTATCCCAACTGTAGCTGTGAACATGACAGGATGTGTGATTACCTAGAACTAGGGATATTTTCAGGTATGAAATGAAAAATCTATAATTCAGTGTGATGTTCGGTGTAGCTGTCAGAATGTCACTGTGAAAATCACTCTGCATTTACACCCATGCTGATATTGAGGTACATTTTGTCCGTGAAGGAGTGGATATTTGAAGGGATAGTGTGGAAGTGGGTTTGGTTACAACAGGAAGTAAAGTAATGAACTGCTGTGAACTGGGGCAGCAGCTTTAAGACACCTTAAAGGTAGGGTAGGTAAGAATGGAGAAACCAGCTCGAGTGCGCTAGAATTTGAAAGTACGCAGCCGAAAAAAATCTGCTCCTTCCTTCAGATTTCCTCACAGAGCCCCTCCTCCAACACACACGAACGGACTATGGATAAGTACCTCATAAAACCCACGATTAAAATATCCATTTAAGCCTGTTAATAAACTTTATCACAACATACATTGGTAGAATATTGATCCTACTTTAACATACTGGTTAAAGTCTGGTTCGCCTTGTCAAAGAAAGCCTGAACCCAAAACGACATTATAAGTTTATCAGCATATTGTGAGAGTTGGTAGACTGCTCCTGTCCAGCTTCTGTCCACCTGAGGACTCACCTTGTAACATATCTATAAACCAGATAGAAATATATCCATCTTTCTGCTCAAAATGTATCTACCTTTGATAACGTGGAGAGCAGCTCAAGGACTTCTTCCTGCATCGGCACCTCTGGGAAATTGAACCACTCGAGAAGAAGCACAAACAGCATCTTCTCCTGCACGATGTCTGAGACGGAGATCAGGGAATGGTCCAGTTTACACAAGATGTTCTTCAGCGCTCGCACTCTTATCTCCACCAAAGAGTGGCCTGAGGACGGCGAACACAACGTGGAGAAGAGACGTTATGGTGGACTGTCAAAAAGTATATTTACTCAAGTACTGTACTCAAGATTCAAGGCTTTGATTATCATGTGTACATCGCTACAGTGTAGATATATCAATGCAAATCTTAGGCTCCTTCAACAGTGCAACACAATAAAACAAGTAAATAGAATAGAAATAGTGCAGAATAGTCGATATACAAGTAATTGGAATATTAATATATATAAGTTGCAAACAGATGGATGTTCTTTCAAAAGTCCAGGTGTTCAAGTATGATTTTGAGATACTTCAAACTATTTCCCGACTCTGGGTAAGCGGTGGGAAATGGATGGATTTGATGTTTCTTTAGACTTCTAAATCACTAAAAACTTGGAAGAAAGTATTGTGCTTTTTACACTGTTTTGACAGCTTTGGTTATTTTACAGATTCAGATTATTAAATACTACATAATATGAATAAACGTATACATAAACAACACAAATTAGATCAAATTAGCTCCACATTTACCAGCTGTGGTGCATCATAATCAAAAATACTTTAATTGTAATTGTTCTTAAATGGACTATAATGCAAAATGAAAACTTGTGTTATTTTCAGTACATTGATGTGGCAATACTTGTGTGCTTTTTGTAAAGTTTGACTTTGAACACAGTGCTTTTACCTGTAGTAATTATCTTAGGTAATAAATTAGAACTTTTTCCACTTCTGACAGTTAGTTGTTTTTATCTAAGTGTTGACTAGTTTGACAGCTAGCTAACTTTGTGTTGAAGTTTACAAAAGTTACCGACATGTGTTACTGTAGTTAGCCTTCACATTAACTACAACTTCACATACTTAAATTAGATGAACGCTAACAGTGTATCAGATATATCTACAGTGTTATTGTTAGCTTAGCATAAAAGAGGCTAATACACACTTTGTTTACATCAATAAAGTCAGGATCTTTAGCGACTTAGCTTTAAGTTAGCTTACCTATTTTCTTTATAAGCGGGGATAACTCCATGTTCAATCTTCCTGTGTGGCAACAGGTTAAAAAAAGCTTCTTAAATATCCGAGGTTTGTCCGTTTATTGAGTGTTTGTCAGCCGGTGTCATGTCAACAGTTTTCTGTTCAACGAACGCGCCTTCAGGTCCACTTCCTGCGCGAGGCCGCGGTGCGTTCAGGAGCTACAGCTGTGTGGGAAAAACGGATATTTAATAAAGTCAGTGTAAATCAGGGGTGTCCAAACTACGGCCCTCAGCTAACTCTAAAAGTATCATCTAATATGGCCCACAAATGAAACTTGTGCTTGTCTTATATTGTACTTCTTAAATATATACGTTAAAATATATTACACAGCAGTATTCATGTGTTAATAAGCCCACTTTTCAAATAAATTCAGTCAGTTAAAGTTGGAAAAATGTTCTAACAAATCTTAGTTGATTAAAAAAAAGGCCCAATAACGTATTTGCATAACAAGCTCGATATATACCCTTCATATTTCTCCTTATTATAAGAAAACTGAGGGATGAGCTGACAACACAATAAATGAAACCCTATGGAGAGCTGTGATATAAACTGTTTTTTGCTTAAGGCATTTTCAAGTATCAAGCATAATTTACATTTGATTAATTTTTCTGACTTATAACTTAACTTATGAGGCAATATACCTCATCTCTAGTGAGTGGCCCAGCCCTTCGTATGTTTTTTCTGTATGTGGCCCTCGGTGAAAACAGTTTGGACACCCCTAATACAGATGTTATTTTGGGAAAACAGGGCACCATCATTCAGAGAAACCGGCTAACTCCTTTTCAAAAACACAAATTCACTCATTTGTATATATTGTTCTCGGGTGTAAATATACAAATGTAAATAAATAGTATGTTGTATTCAATGTTGACATTCTGTAAATTGGATAGTCTGGCTTATCATAATGTACAATGCCTTCAATTTTGTATATTTATATTGTGTATTCAATATACCGTGAATGCTCTATAAAGTTATATCCTTAATTATTAATATACTGTATATATTCACTGTGTTGTTAATAATTTGTGTTGGTTATTTTATGTATTATTCACTTCTAATGAATGTGTAATGTCGTAGCTGCTGTGTCAAAAGAAATTCCCAAATTGGATCAATAAACGATATATTATCTTTAAACCAACGTGTAAGCAAAACAGGTTAAAAAAGACAATAACTGATCAAATATCTGTCCTCATGTTTTAAATAAAAGTACAATAAACATTATTGATTCAGCTGTGCAGTATTTAATTTCACTTTCTGATAATGCCATCAATAAATCCTGTCTTTCTCTGAACATTGTTTGTCTTATGAAAGTCTGATGTACTGAGTTAGTCTTTTATCAGGTCTTTTAAAAGGTTATATAAACAAGTGAATTTTCTTGTCAGGATAATTAGTGTTTCAAGCTATATTCCTAAATCATTGAAGGCTTTTGATTTGCTTGAATACTGAAAGAAGTTTTGACAGCAGCAACACTACCCTGTCATTAAATTAATCTTTTCAAACATTGACGCTCTCAAAAATCAAAGTGGATGTGCATCGCCTCTTAACGAGTGCAGGCAGAATTTCTCTCAAGTAAATCCAATGACACCAGATCTCACACTTGAGCTGTGACGTGGATGTGATCAGACGACAGGGCGATAATGAACGAACTCAGCAAATGGTATTTGATATGATAATAATATAATGTAACAGCTTTTGAGAATTCCTGAGAGATATTAGCGCATAATTAATTTGGGTGCACACTACAGTATGTATTCTGTCACAGAAGAGTTTGAGGGGGTAGAAGAGAACGTTATGCTTTTATAATCCATAAATGTTTAATTTCTGCATAAATAGATATGTTAATTGACTTGACTTCCATTTTACGCACCATATTTCTGTACTTGTTCAATATAGGCACCGACTATACTGGGCACAAGCCCTTAGGAATTCTCAAATACTCAAAATGACCAAAAAGGGATGCACAACAACAAATAAGAGACACAAAATAACCAAAAACTAATTATTGAGTCTTGAAATGACCTTGAACGGCGACAAAAAGACACTAATAAAACCCAAATTGCATGAAAATGTCTATTTGAATCTGCAGCTCTTGATCAAGGAGTTCATTTGTCATATCTTTGCACATTGAGCCATATATTAAAACCCAAGATGCTTCAATAATCTCAATCTCAATCTTTATTTCTTTATATAGCACATTTAAAACAACCTTCAGTTGACCAAAGTGCTGTACAGGCAATAACTACAATATTAAATAACACAATGGGAGTACAATAATAAAACAATAATTAAAACCATGATAAAAAGCACAATAACTAGAAACATATAACAAAATTTTTTTAAAACACATACAAATATAAAAATGTAATGTTCAACTAGTATTAAAAAAAAAAATGGAAACCTATTTTACAAACACATCCCTGTAAGTTTGAAATGTTTGCTAACTTTTGCAGCAAGGTAGAATTTTAAACAAAGTTTTGTTGGTTGGAAACAGCACGACTCTTATCGATGGACCTGCCATTGAGGTTAAAGTATATAACGCTCTGATAGGTCTACGCAGCTACATTTGAACAATAAGAAAACTGACTCTGACATCCAAACATTCTTCTCCTGCTGGAAAAATAAATTGCCCGAGGTCAGACTAGCAAAGCTGTCGAGTCGGCTTCAAACAGTATATCCCATCCTTTCTGTTGGACTGTGTTAGCATATAGGCTGCAGACAGGAAGCAAAACTTAACTTTAAATAAATGAAAACATGGTGTATCTCAGCCCAGAGGTGGTTTCATCTTTTAAGTTTCCCCTCATGTCCTGAAAATGACCTTTGTTTGTGTTCCCTGTAAACATCTTTAAAAAGGAGGACGGTCTTCCACACTTTTCAATATTTAATTGCTTGTATTTTCACGAGCGATTTAAGGATTTGTAAACCAGACGCACAATCTGTCATTTATTTGACATCAGGCTAAATTACTCATATGCCAGAATGCCCCTCAGGCTGTTAATGAAGGCCAGGCTGATCTCTGAGTGGAAATCATGCCAAATAAAAACATTGTGAAGACAGATTTACTCTCCAACATCTCTGAACTATCGCAAGCATGGAGCAATAACCTGCTGAGGTCTCATTTAGAGATACCTTAAAGACACTAGACGCTGCAGAGCTGAAAACTTAGTGAAAATGCTAGTTTTGCCACTAGACATCAAGCCAAAACACACCCAATTAGAGAGTGTATGAAAAGTCCATTGAGCCCCATAAGAGACATTTAACTCATTACATGTGTTCTATGTGTGCACAAGAGTATTTAGTTTATTGTGGAAAATGCACTATTATAAACATTTGACATTTAGTGTAATTTTCTACTTCTTCAAGCATCTCTTTATTACGGAGCCCCTAAAGCCCCTGTCACACTGTCCCGAAATTGACACCCGATGGACACACGATAAAGGAAATGTTCAAATTCGGCTGTGATCGTAGCAACATCGGGCCATTCGTGAGGGCATCTTAAGCCATCGTATGACCGCCGGTGGAGTTTCTCAGGCTCCGGCAGCAACTTCGTGAGAAGCAACTTCGTAAGGCACTCGTGAGGGCATCTTGTCAAATCGTGTCATCTTCGTGTTATCATCGGTGCATTCGCCCTCACTCTGATCGGGGCGAATGCCCGATGGCACCGATGATAACAAGATGCCCTCACGATGGCCTTACGAAGGGCACAATTGACACACGAATTCAACACGAAAATGAACCTTCTCAAGGTCCTTCGGCAATTTTTTGGCATGCCAAAGATTTTGCCACCGCTCACGAAGTTGCTGCCGGAGCCTGAGAAACTCCACCGGCGGTCATACGAAGGCTTAAGATGCCCTCACGAATGGCCCGATGTTGCTACGATCACAGCCGAATTTGAACATTTCCTTTATCGTGTGTCCATCGGGTTTTTTATTGCACAACAAAATCATGTAAATATATTATGTAAATAACCCAATTTGTGTTCTGTGAAAGTACTAAAAACAATTGTGCTACAGTACTATGATACTGTACTGATATCTTCAGACTTTGGTCTTTACTTTATCCGTCGTTATATGTAGAAAATATTACGTTTTCTCCGTAATGTTGTTTCCATAACAACAACAACTTCCTGTCAACTGTCCTTCAAAATAATATATTATATCCTTTTTAGTTTCACAGAACACAAATTGGGTTATTACAAGGTAGTCAAGAGCAAGGTAGTCAAGAACAAGGTAGTCAAGAGCAAGGTAGTCAAGAACAAGGTAGTCAAGAGCAAGGTAGTCAAGAGCAAGGTAGTCAAGAGCAAGGTAGTCAAGAACAAGGTAGTCAAGAGCAAGGTAGTCAAGAGCAAGGTAGTCAAGAGCAAGGTAGTCAAGAGCAAGGTAGTCAAGAACAAGGTAGTCAAGAGCAAGGTAGTCAAGAGCAAGGTAGTCAAGAGCAAGGTAGTCAAGAACAAGGTAGTCAAGAGCAAGGTAGTCAAGAGCAAGGTAGTCAAGAACAAGGTAGTCAAGAGCAAGGTAGTCAAGAACAAGGTAGTCAAGAGCAAGGTAGTCAAGAGCAAGGTAGTCAAGAGCAAGGTAGTCAAGAACAAGGTAGTCAAGAGCAAGGTAGTCAAGAGCAAGGTAGTCAAGAGCAAGGTAGTCAAGAGCAAGGTAGTCAAGAACAAGGTAGTCAAGAGCAAGGTAGTCAAGAGCAAGGTAGTCAAGAGCAAGGTAGTCAAGAGCAAGGTAGTCAAGAACAAGGTAGTCAAGAACAAGGTAGTCAAGAGCAAGGTAGTCAAGAACAAGGTAGGCAAGAGCAAGGTAGTCAAGAGCAAGGTAGTCAAGAACAAGGTAGTCAAGAGCAAGGTAGTCAAGAGCAAGGTAGTCAAGAACAAGGTAGTCAAGAGCAAGGTAGTCAAGAGCAAGGTAGTCAAGAGCAAGGTAGTCAAGAGCAAGGTAGTCAAGAGCAAGGTAGTCAAGAACAAGGTAGTCAAGAACAAGGTAGTCAAGAGCCTGGTAGTCAAGAGCAAGGTAGTCAAGAACAAGGTAGTCAAGAACAAGGTAATCAAGAGCAAGGTAGTCAAGAACAAGGTAGTCAAGAACAAGGTAGTCAAGAGCAAGGTAGTCAAGAGC